GTCAGGACTCGGCCCCACAGAGACACCTGTACCTTCTTCAGAACTCACCCTGCCGTCTTCGTCTGGCACCAGAGCAAGAGGGCATCCTTGGCCGAGCGGGTCTCTCGGCTGTCTTCTGTTTCAATTTTAATCACCTGGATCTGAGAAGGGAAGCAGGGGGTCCTTTCACTCTCCTCTCTCCAAAGCTCATCTGTGTTCAGCCCCCTCCCCACCCCCGTTTTCATTTTCATGGATGACTTCCCTGACATGCCCTAGAAACCAGCCACCTCCCTCCCTCCCTCTTTTGCCCAGGATGTCCATCCTTCCCCAAACTCTCTGTGACCTGCACAGAATACCGTTCTAGGTCTTCCTGCTTCTGGAAAGCTTAGGGAGACAAGATGGTCTCCAGGTTGCTTCAGGCCTCACTTGGAAGCCTCCAGCAGCAGATGACCTCCCCAGCTGCCCAGGCATAGCCGCATCTGTCACCTCCTCTGGAAAGGTTGCCCTCTTGCTCTACCTGAAATCTCAGGATGATGGTCCAGATGAGGCCCAAGGTCAGGCGGTGGTTGCCATCCACAATGTCATGAGAACCCACATTCTCCAGGTGAACTCGCTGCTCCTTCAGGAATTGCAGGGCTTTGTCCACATTTTCCAGGGAGTGGATCCGCATTCTCCCCCGGGTGGGTTTGGGCTGCCACAGAAGCCAATCAAAATATAACTGCTCCCATCAGGGCACAGTCTAAGCACATTCAGAATTGACTAGTAAAAGTAACGTTTAAAGTTGCACAAATGTGATAAAATAAAAATAGTACTGTACTGTAAGTCACAGCACAGGTAACACTGACAGGTAGTTCTTACGACCAATTGTTTAATGACCATTCAAAGTTACAACAGACTTGAAAACAGATACTTAGAACCCATCTTCAAGGGCACAATCACATGGTCATATTTCTGGCGTTGGCAAACTAGCTTGCATTTACAACCAGTTGCAGAATTCCAGAATTTGGTTAAGAGATTTAGAACAAAACAGCCGTGTCTTCTGCCTTTACCAACCACCCTTCTCAATAACCCCTCACAGCCCTGCAGAGAGCAAGTGTGGGGCAGGGAGCATCCTGCCCAGACCCTCCCCCCTCCCCCCCTTCATTGCCTTCCCTTTCAGGGCTTAGCCCCCCTTTGGCACCAAGGCCTGAAGTTACCCAGCAAAAATCAAGGTGACTCAGACTGGCTCAAAAGTGCACCCCTCTTAACAGGAGCGACCAACCCCTCTGCCCTAAGAGGCACCTGCCTCGTCCTCTGGGGCAGTCATCCCTGAAGAAGCTGAGAGACCCCCATACCAGCTGCTCCCCAGACAGAACTTCCAGCAGCTTGGTCAGCAGGTATCCGTCTCTCAGGTCTGTATAAAGGTCGCCGATTCGGCAGGAGACCTGGCCCAGGTGGGAGTTGATCCACTTGGTGAAAGTCTTCTTCTGCACTGCATCTCGCTCATCTGGCAAAATTTGGGGGGAGGGGTGGCATTACTCCGATCTCTCATCCCACAGAGAAAGCCCCCCCTCCCCCCTCCGCAAGGACCAGAAGCACAAGGCTGAGCTTGAGGGCATCCTGCTGCCCCAGGGAGCTTTTTATTTTAATTGGCCTAAGGAACTTCTGGGGAAGGGGCCACAGCTGCAGCCATGGGGTCCTTCTCTAGGGTGGTGTTTAAACACAGAGAGATGACAGCCACAATGGGGCCAATCCCAGACCTGTCCAACATTTCCTTCTCACTCTTCCTGGGGCTAAACCTTTTATTCCCAGAGCCTCGCCCCATGGAGATTCCTGGGGCCTGGGCCAGCAATCCCTTCCCCACCTCCCCCTTGTCCGCATTTCAGGGCTCAGAACTAGGTAGGCACCCCTCCCTCACTCTGCACACTTAATGAAGATCTCTCTGAAACAAAACCCCTCCTTTTTATTTAAAAACCCATTGGCTGCACCATTTCAGAGGGAAAGCACCCTCACCCAGCTCCGTTTTGGTGCCCCTCCCTATCGGCAATATCCTTTCCCGCCCAACAGGAAGAGCCCAGGTGGAGGAGGGGAGGCTTACCCGCGAGGGCCTTGATTCGTGAGCATTCGAAGAGCTTGACGGTAGCCGTGGCCTCCTCCCAAAGCCGGGGCTGGGTGGGGTCGGTGCTCTCCCATTGGGTATTGCTGAGTTGCTGCTGGGCCTCCTGGTTATCCAGCTGAGCCGGTGCAATGTTTGCCATGTTGCTGCTTTCCTGGAAGCCCCATAAAGGGGCCACATGAACCCCTGAAACTGCACCAGCCGCCTACATACTGAGTTCAGAATTCCAAAGAAAGAATGAAAGAGAAAATGGCAGCTCTTGAAAGCGAGCACCTGTTGGGCACACCTGCTTTGCGATGCCTACACCTGGCCCAAAGACTGTGTGAGATGTCACCAACTGGGTGATTCTCTAGTGAGAATGGAGAGGGGCGGGCAGATGCCTACCTCCCCTTTCAACCAGTCCTCAGTGTAGCCAGCCAGGCAAGGCTGAGAAAAGATACAATGCAAGAGCAGGCAATTTGGTGCTTAGGCCTTTGCTGTCCCCTGGAGTAGATGAGAGGGCGGCACAGCTCATCTGTTTGAACTAGCTCTCCCTTTCCCTCAGGGTGCAACCTGGAGACCCTCAAGGCAGCTAGACTGCCCTACTAGCTGGAGGTGTATGTGTGTCCAAAACCTTCTGCATGCTGCCATGACTTGCCTCTCCTCCACTAGAAACTTGTCTGGCCCATTCAGAAGATTGGGAGTCCCTCAAGAGAAAAATCTGGGGCAGAAGCAGCTGCAGTTTAAATTATGGAGGGAGGGGGGGCTGACTCCTGAGTCGATTGTAGGAAGAGAGTGGTGGAAGGACAGAGTGTGACCCCAACAAAAGTCGCCCTCTGTGGAGCAGGCGGCTTGGAATAGATATTTATTGCTGGGAAAGACAGGCTGAAAGACAAATGATGCTGAGGGAATATCCTAAAGAGGTTAATTTAAGTGGGTGAGAGTGGGTGAATTGCGCCAGGGCAAAAGCCCTCAGGGAGACTCATAGCATCAGGCCACAGCCACATGGTATGACAGAATGATTCCCCCTCCCAATATTTAAGGCAACGTGGCTCTCCACATTCGGTGGGTTTTCACAGATGGTTTCAGGAGCCCTGGGGTGCCTGGCCATCTTAAGGAGCCGCTCAGAGAATGGGGTTCCTCGCCTCACGAGAGTCACCCATCAAGGAAGGCAGGGAAGCAGATGATGGCCAAGGATTGTGGGTGAAGCAGCTCCTTATGCCTTCTCTGATGGAACTCAGCACATGGGGCTGAGCAAAAGGCACCAACTCCCTTGCTTCGAGCCCCCAGGGCAGGTGGAGGGAGGGCTCTGGGGCAACACCCCTGTCCAGCAAGCCACCTGATCCCTTGCAGGGGAGCAAGATGGCCATCATTTACGTACCCATTTGGACACGCCAAATATGCAGCCCAAATTTTGCCAGGTTTGGGAATCTGGAGCCCAACACCGCAAGGCCGAAGGAGAGGTGCTGTTTCATCTGGTCCTTGGCAGGGAAGGAACCGGGTCCCTGGCCTTGTTTGGCTAAAAAGGGCTCAGCAAGGGAGGGGTGAAGGGCCTGGATGATACCCCCACCCCTCCCCTTCCTTCCCGGGGTTCAGAAGATCCCTCCTCAGCCCTTCAGCAGCCGCCATAGGCTTCCAAAGGATTCTGCCCCACGGAGGCAAGAGCGACCTTTCTGCTCCTCCCCCGCCCTGGGGAATGGGTCTGCTGCGGGGACGGCTGGCCCCGAAGGGCGGCCGGAGCCGGGGGTCATCTGCTTTGCGTCCCGACTCTCGGCCTGCTCCCTCCCCTCCCGAGAGGCTTCCGGAGAACCGGCTCCGGCTCTTCTCCGCCTCACTCCCGTTCCTGGACTTGTGGTCGGAGCCCCTGGGGGGCCCTCGGGCCTCCTCCCCGAGCGCAGCCGCAACCGGGCCAACCTCACCTGAACACCGGTGACTTGCGAGGCCTCATCCCTCCCCGCAGCGGCTAGATGCTGCTGGCGGGCGCTCTCGTCAATGAGCGCAGGAGCAAAGCGGAGCCGAGCCGGCCGGCGGGGCCGCTACGCCGATCTCGCTATAGCCGTCCTGGCCGAGCAGCCAATCCAGGAGCGCCGCTCAGCCCCTCCCCGAAAGCCGGCGAGCCCCCCTCCAGCAGCAGCCGCGCCCGCTGCAAGGGGGGCTTTCCAGGAGCGGCGGCCCGCCTTTCTGGCGCCGCTCAGCAGCCCCGGAGCACGCGGTCCGGCAGCCCGCGGCCGCCGGAGAGCTGCCCGGGCGGGTCTGCGGCAGCAGGCGGGAGCGATCCGGGTCACCTTGCGCCCGCCCTTGGCCTCCTTCCCCCCGGCCGGCCGCTTCTCGACGCGAGCCGCGGCTGCTGGTTGGAGCGAGGGGAAGCGCAGCGTTGGGCTCCCGCGGCTGCGCGGCTGCGGCGGAAAGAACCGGAGCAACGCCCGGCAGCTTGGATGGTGAGAAGGCAGCGGCTGCTCTCGCCGGTAACTGAGCCGACCACGCCAAATCGGAGGAAGCGCGACGGAGGGCCCCGCATGGCTGAGCCGCGCCTTTGGACAGGGAGCGGAGCCGGCTCGCGCGAAAGGACGACGGCAGAGCCTGGCAGCTTTTCTCTGCCGGCTGGGCTCCGGGTAAGGCCCCTCCTCTCCCCTTTCCGCGCTGCCCTCTTTTGCCAAACCCCGGGCCGGGCTGGGCCGGCCAGGAATTCCCAGGAAGGCGACCCGACCGAGGAGGCTCAGACTGGATCCCGCGGCTTGCCCTGCGCATCAACCGCTCCCGCCCCTTTCGAGACGGTCGCCCAGGGCCGGCGAGCGGCTCTCCCGAGAGCCTGGGGAGGGGAGGCAGACGCGCCGGCGGAGGGGGCGGCCTTCGGTTGCTCGTTCTGCTGCGAGCCCGCGGGGCTCGAGCCCCTGGCTGCGGTCCTCGGGGAGAACCGAAGCGGCGAGGCGCCGCCTTCCGCTGCTCCTGCCTCTCTGGGCGGAGCTCCAGGCGGAAAGGCTTGCTTTGGCCCTGGGCTGGAGCGGCGAGGAGGCGACGGCATGGAGGGAAGCTGCGCGCCCGGAGGCCCGGCTGCAGCAGCCTGCAAGAAAATCGCCATCTTCGGCGCCACCGGCATGACTGGCCTGGCCACCCTGGCGCAAGCCCTGGAGGCGGGTGAGGCAGGGCAGCGGGCGTCGGCCCGGGGGGCAGAGCAAACGGGGGACTCGCGAAGGGCCGCGTCGTCCACCCCGGCTGCGAAAGGACGCGCTCTGGACACGGCTGCTTCCCCAGAGAAGCACCGCAGCGGCTGACAATTGGGTGTGGGGGGGTGGGTTGCGAGCGAGAACCGAAGGAGGAGCGCCTTGCACCCGGGGGCTGCTGTGTGTTGTTTGTTTGCGAAGTGGGGTTGGTCAAGATTCAAGGCTTCCGGATCAAGGATGCCTTTCCCCAGTTGGCGCTGCACCTGCAAGTTATCCCATGGTGCTGGTGCTACCACTGAGTCCATAATCCATAGTGTAGTTTCGGGAAATGGGATCTTGGTATAGCAGGTGATGCCACCAGACATGAACCCCAAAGCAGCCCTGGTCGTGTTCCAGTCTGCTTGGCAGGCTGAAGTGGCCGGGGCTGGCTAGGCGCTTGGGACGCTATCACAAGTCGCCTGGCATTCCCCGCCCCCCTGCTTGCCCTGTGCTGTGCAGTGATAAGGAGGAGAGTTTGGGGCCAGCCCTGCAGGGACTTTCTGGCTTCTTGGGGAGTTGAGCTAATTCTAGAGGCTGTTCTGCCCCCACTTTTCCTCCAGCCAAGGGGTGGGGTGGGTGCTAGTCCACCTCTGCTGGGGACACATATTGCTGGTGTTCCCACCCCCCCTTTTGCAAGACAGACAGGAGAGGGGCGGAGCAAAGCTTGCTGCAATTGATGTTTTGGATAAGAAAGTGAAAAGGGCTCCCCAGTGCCCCTCTGGATGAGCACTGCAGCCATAACTGGGGCGGGGGGGCTCTGGGCTGGTCAACCCAGGTGGGGAGAGTTGGTGGATTGTAGGATTAGGCCTGGCCGTCCGGCTGCTTCTGAGTTTGAAGATATAAAGGTCCTTTGCGTGGGCCGTTTGTGATGCCATGGAAGGGGGAAAGGAAGCTTCAATGCCATGGGGGGGGGAGGCTTCGATTACATTTAAGTGGGGCTGAGCCTGAGCTGCCTAGAGGAGGTTGGTCCTGTACTTTCAAACTTGGCACAGAGGCAGGGAAAAATGCCAGAATTGCCCAAAGCAGCGCAGGTTAATTTTCAAAGGGAAAAAAATCCACAACAAGGGAATTAGTTGGAATGGCCCATTTAAAGGTAGTAAGTGGCATAAAATACCTTTCACTGGCTGAACATATAAAAACCCTAAAGAAGGCTGGTGTGCTTGAAAAGAAGGCTTTAGAGGAGAATGATCTAAAAAAGAATGGTTTACCACACAAAAAATTGTAATACAAAAAATTCTGCCAGGCTAAACAGGTTTAGCGATTCCTCTGTAATTTTTTTCTTAAATATGTGAACAAGCCAAGAAAAAATTTACCTAAAGTTATTTTAAAAAGACAAACCATTTAACGTTGAACAACCTGAGGAGACAATTAAACGTTAAAGGGAATAGACAGTCTTGCAGAAAGAGGACTGTAGCCAAGGAAAACCGGCACCAAAATCCTTTCCTTCTTCCCTTCTGTCCATAGAGATGGCCAGAGTAGAAGGACAGGTGAGAGCACTGGCCAGGAGTGGGGGGGGGAGCAGAAATTCCTCCTCTGAAGTCTCCCTCCCCCCACCCCATTGCTAACCCATTCAGGGCAAAGGGCTGAAGCCGCCTTCACCAGCCTGCTCTGAGGTTTCCTTTGCTACTCCCTCCAAGAGCTTGGGGGGGGAGGATGCCTTGACCAGCTGTTTTCTCTTCCCCCTTGCCAGGCTACCAGGTGACAGTGCTAGTACGGGATCCTGTCCGGCTGCCCCCTGACCTCCAGCCAGCACAAGTGGTGGTGGGAGATGTGCTGAACCGGGCAGACGTCGATCGAGCCGTGAGGGGGCAGGATGCCGTGATCATCATCTTGGGCACCCGCAATGACCTCAGTAAGAACGGTTGTACTTCCTCCCCAGCGTCTCCCTCTTCTGAGGCTTTGGGCTCATGTGAGTTTCCTTCTCTGCCTCTCAGGTCCCACCACCATGATGTCTGAAGGCACCCGGAACATCGTGGCAGCCATGAAGTCCTGCGGCATCAGCAAAGTGGTAGCCTGTCTCTCAGGTAGGCGTCCCATAAAAAGCCTGGAGGTCATGTGCTCCTGCCTCCTGGACAGGATCTCCAGCTGAGCAAAGGGTCAGAAGCCCCACCCCCGGCCATGTGTCTGCCAGCCCTGGGTTTCCTTGGGGAAAAGAACTGCCTTGGGGGTCTCCGGGAATTAAGAGAATGGAGAAATGGTTCCACTGGCCGGGCAGTTGGAGGTCTTGGAGGTTGGAAAGAAGTGAATGTCAGTGGGATGTTGGCCCCACCTCTGCTCTTCTCCAGACCAAATAGGAGAGGGGGCCTCACGGGGCCCCAAGGGGTGTGCAGAGCTGCCTCGGATTCCTGCAGGGGGGGTTGCCTTCCTTGGTCTCCACAGCCCTTTCCTTCTCAGCGTTCATCTAGGGGTGTTGAGGTTTCCAAGGCTCTTGGACGCTCTCCCCCTCTCCCCGCAAAGAGGTGGGCTGGGTTGACTTGGCCCGGGGCTGTCGGTTTCTTGTAGCTTTCCTGATGTGGGACCTGGACAAAGTTCCTGCCAGGCTGCAGCCAGTGACCGAAGACCACATCAGGATGCAGCAGATCCTGAAGGAGTCAGGCCTGGACTGCATCTATGTCATGCCACCCCACATTGCAGGTGTGTCCTAGGCAGAGATCTGGGTGGTGGGGGCACAGTGGCCGGCAACTGGCAGGTCAATCTGGGTGCAGGAAGAGTGTGAGGTAGTCAGCAAAATCATGCACAAAAAACATTTTCCACCAGTGGTATCACCCGGAACCCCCTAATGGAGAAATGTGCCCCATTTCCAGTGCTATTTCTCAGCTGGGGCTGAGCCAGGTGCTGCATGGCTGGCCCAGTTGGGCTTTGCATGCGGTTTCTGGCAATGGGTGTTCTTCCTCCTGCAGGTGACCAGCCCCTCACCGGCAACTACACTGTAACCGTGAACACTTCAAGTGGTGCCCGAGTCATCTCAAAGCATGACCTGGGGCACTTCTTTCTCAAGTGCCTGACCACATCGGAGTATGATGGGAAAAACGTCTACCTCTCCAGGCATTATTCCAAGGAATGACTCCCCTCCTCAAAAGGCTGGAAATCGCTGCCTCAGATGCATTCCCCCTCCGCCCCTTGTGCTAATGAGAGCCCCCCCTCACTTGAAGGCCAGTCCCTGCGCGCCGAGATGCCCCTGAATCCAAACACAGCTGTGCGGGCTCTGGCCCCCGTCTGGGCCGGTGCTCTGCAGCTTCTTTCCCATGGCAGAACAACAAAGAGCCCTTTTTGCTATGCCGAGGAAAGCCCTTGCGCAGAACAAATGATTTAGGGTCTGCCGCTTGAGCAGGGGTTGGACTGGAAGACCTCAAAGTTCTCTTCCAAACCTATGATTCTACGTTCTAAGTGGAAGGCAGCAGCCAAGCCCCTTCTATCAGCAGAGAGGAGGTTGGATGCTGAGGCCACCTGGAAAATTAGGTATCCAGCTGTAAACAAACCCATCAGAAGTAGTAAAAGGTTGGACGGCAAGTAACTGAATATCCCCAGGTTAATGCTAACCTTCCTCCTGTGTTGTTAAGAAACCTTAATTCATGTTGATGCTTGCAAAGTACTGTGCAGCTTGAAAGCATACAAAGCATAAGCAGCTAATCAAATAAATACTAAACTATTTGGATGGTAATGTGATTACTGGGATCTAATTAAGAACTGACTTGGAAGGAGTTTTCAATAATTACTTGTCCTGAACCATCAATTCTTCGTGTTGTGGTTAAAAGACAAAAGAGTGAGGTTCTTGCTCCCTGCTGGTGGTCCTAAAGAGGGATTACAGATCGGGCCTGCACATAAATGTCAAGGGAATAAACACGGATGGGCATTTAGTGGCCACACTGGAAGTCGGGGGGCAATAACTCCGCTGCTTTTCATGCAGGGAAACATGAAAAACCAGGATTTCATGAATAGTAAAATAGAAGACTGAGCTAGTCGTCACACCGATTCAATTAAAAATAGTCATGACTACGATTTATTGCATAAACCATGATTATACGGATTCATATAACACAACAGCCAGTTTGGTGCAGCGGTGAAGGTGCTGAACTAGCAACCGGGAGGTGTGAGTTCTAACCCTCCCTTTAGCCCTGACTGGGCTGGTCCTTGTCTCTCAGCCACCCCGCCTCGCAGGGTTGTTGTGATGAGGAAAAGAGGCACGAGCGTTAGGCGTCTTCGCTGCCCTTCACTTGACCAAACCTTTTAAACAGCGGGAGTGCTTTTGAAACCCTCCCCTGACGCTTCTTCCGAGGAGGTGGGCGTTTCGTTCTCCGCCAGGGGGACCACGGACCTCTCTCGGGTCAATCGCACGGCTTCAGCCCGGCGCCTCCAAGGTCGGAACAGGCACGCCAGGAGACAAAGCTGCAAACGCCGCCTCTAGGGGTCGCCCTTCCCCGGCTCTGCGGCAGCGCCTCCTACCGGGCAGACTCCGGGACCGCTCCCTGCCCAGCCAATCAGCGCGCGGCTGCTTCCTTTTCTTCCGCCCGCCCACTCTATGGAGATGAGGCGTTCGTGAGAGCGCTCCCATTGGTCGCGATAGCTTCCTCCGCCCACGCAGGGCGCCCCGAGCGGTCCTCTCATCGAATCGGAGAGATTCGCCTGGAACGCGGGGGTGGGCGGGGGGGTGGCGTACCGGCCGCTGATTGGCTTCCAGATCCCGCCGATTGGGCTCTGAGCAGCCGGGTAGGTGAAAGCGGGTCCCGGGGATCCCCGCCGGGTCTGGGCGGGGAGGCGCCCCCGTAGTGGACGGGCAGGACAGGCTCCTCAGCTGCGCGCCTTCCCCGCCTGCGCGCTTCTCCCGGAGGTGCCGAACTTTCCGGCCAGCGGCGCAACGGAGCCGGGGGACGGTGGGAAGGAAGCGCTTGGCCGCCGCGCGGAGGAGACGGGCAGTCCGGCTCCAGGGGCTCCGTCACCGCGGGGTGAGACGAGCCGGCCAGGTGAGCCCCCACCGCCTCGCCTCGCCTCGCCTCGCCTCACCCGCCGCCCGGCCTCCCTGGGGCCGCCCAGCAAGGCGAGTTAAGTAAAGGAGGGAGAAGAAATCCGGAACCCCCCCCCGCCTCCCCTTGCTTGGTTCTCTGGGGAGGTTTCCGCTTCTGTAGCACTGAAGTAGCCGCCTGAAATCCTGGCTCTGTCTGCGCTCTGGCCTCCTTGGCAAGGCTGCCCCCCCCCCCCCGGAGCCACCGCCTAGGCCTGGCCGGGCTTGGCACTTGGCATCTCTGAGCGCTCCCCTTCTGCTCCTTTCCAGAAATCGGCTGATGACAGGCCGCCATGAAGCGACAGTGGGCCGAAGAGGAGGCCCAGCCTGCAGCAGCCCCGCCATGCAGCTCTCTCTTCAGCCTGTCGGTCTCCAAGCTCCACCAAAGCCTGCGCATTGTAGAGCCCAACCTCTGGCACCTAGTGCTGGTGGCCAACACGCTCCGTCGCTTCCAGGGGGAGTTGCAGCCAAGACCTGCCCCTATTCTCCAGGCTGCTTTAGGCCAGGAGGACCCTTCTGAGGGCAGCTCGATACCCAGTGCCCCGGCCTGCAACCTGTCAGAGCCCAGCTGGAGCCTGATGTCACCCCCTTCCCTCTCCCCGCCCATGGGCAACCTCCTCCTTTCCGATGGGGTCTCCTCTGCCTTCCTGGACTTTTTGGAGGACTCGAGTGATGTTGCTCAGCCCCAAAAGCCCCTGCTGTCTTTGTTCAGCCCTGAGGCTGAATGGATTCCCCACACCTGCCCTTCTAGGACTCTGGAGCTTCCGAGCCCTGGCGGCTACCTTCTGGAAGATAGCCTGGAGTTTGTCTTGGAGGACATTGACATCTCCATGTTTGACTGCGATCTGTGGCTGCCCATCAGCCTCCCCAACTTCAAGGAGGCCTTCTGTTCACCTGGGGAGCAGGTGCCAGGTCTGGCAGACCATCTTGACTGTCTCAAGATGTGCTTGTGGGAGTGCAGGAACTTATTTGATGTTTTTTACTTCTGGCTGTTCACCGCCCTGAGTCCTTCGGGAGAAGGGCAGTACATAAATTTAAATATTAAATTAAATTAACTATGAGGGCACCGTCAAAGGAAATTGTGGTCCCTGGTTGCCTGCTGAAAATGGGAGTTGATAATCTCAGGGAAAGAGCCTCTGCCACAGAGAACGAAGTCTTAATTGCATCTTCCCAATTCCTCACACAGCTACCTCTTTGGAAGCTTTCTCAAAAAAAAGTGACCAACTTTAAATAATTTGGGTACTCTACTTGCCATCTTCAATTTCAGTCACAATGTAGGCTACAGCAAAGTTCTGCAGTGGCCTAAAGCGCCTGTTCTGGAGCTCAGCCGGGAACTTTACTTGCACAAAGGGCTAGATCTGTCTTATTTGGAGGGCATGCCAGGACTTTGATTTTGGGATCCAGACTGCCTGCTTTTGAGAGCGAGCGTTTACCCGAATCTTCTCCAGAATGGTACCTCTGTTTTCCCTCTCCTGGTGAACCCTCCTGATCTGCCTGGGTTGGGGAGCTTCACCGGGCTGGTCTCTTTATGTGAGTAGAGAGAACACGACTCCCACATGTTGAGCAGTCAAGAGTGGTGAGAGAGTAATTTATATGAGCATCAAGTACTAAAAAAAGTGAAAAAGCTGCATCCTGTTAAATTACTTGAAAGAATTCAACACTTTCATGTTGGAATTGCATATATTCTATGTATTTGAGAAGGAGGGACATGAAGAGGGTCTTTGCTGGTACAGGGTCTTCTTGTTTCCTTCCCCCAAGGCCCAAGAGCCTCTTGACCAAGCACACCCAGCTGCTGCTTTCCCCTCTTGTCTTGACTGCAATGGCAGCAGTCCCTCCCTGGGCTGGATGGCACCTTTTTTAGGGAGCAGGTTAGCATTCCGATCTGCACTGGATAACTCCTCATTTGGTGCTGGAAGAGGAAGACAAGCTCCCTGATGGATGTCCTGAGGAGGCAGAACAGTGAGGGAGAGTTTGTGGGACAAGGTGGGGGCTTCTGTGAGGGGTGGGCTTGGAAGGTGAGCCAGTACATAGGTCGGCTGCAGGTTGCAGCCCCTGCGCAGAGACCCAAAGTAATTGCTGGAATGGAGAGAAACTCCAGGATAGGGAGGTTCATGCAGAGGACAAATTCTGAATGGATTTGGCACCAATTTAAGGCAAAGAATGTAGAACTATTGGGTTGGCTCAAGGGGGGCCCATCTAGTCCCAACAGTTTTTCTTCCTCAGTGACAACCCAACTATGAATGAAAAAAGGAGAGGATGATCTGGGTTTGCTCGGCAGCCTGATCTCCTCCTCCTGCTGCTCATGGAGATTCTAGCCTGCTTGTCTTCCCATAAGTCTTAAGAGCCTTGGTGGCGCAGCAGATTAAAGTGCTGTTAAGTAGCACCAGCTGCCTGCAATTACTACAAGTTCAAATCTCACCAGGCTCAAGGTTGACTCAGCCTTCCATCCTTCCGAGGTAGGTAAAATGAGGACCCGGATTGTGGGGGCAATAAGCTGACTTTGTATAAAAAAGAACACCGCTTAGGGGGGGCCGAAAGCCTACTAAGCAGGTATATGCAAAAGTATGAAGGCTATTGCTTAACGCATTATAAGCCGCCCTGAGTCTCCGGAGAAGGGCGGCATATAAAATCGAACCAATAAATAAAACAATAAATAAATACATAATTGGTGTTATAAATCCATCTTTAAATTTTCTAAGAAAGTGGCTGTTCCCAACCTTGCAGTGGAATTCATGGTGGTTACAGCTGAACAATACATAAATTATGTTTTGACTAGTTACTTGTTTAGTGACGCAGCTACAGAAGTTCACATAAGGCCAGCCTGTCTCACTTTATCTTGCTCTGTGAATCAGACTGATATTAAGAATGTAGCAAAGAAAGGGTGGGCTTTCCCTTTTGCCCCTTCTGAAGCCTTCCCAAGAGGTTCTTAACCTTGGGACTATCTGCATTCCTTGGCCCTTTTTTGCAAGTTACAAATGTCTGTGTTTACATTTAAATGTATACTAAGGCTGACCCAATCTGCTTTTTAAACACTTTTTGCGTAAAAAACTTTATATTCTATGTGGGTTACCAAAAGTCATTTGATTGTGGCAGAGGTTTGATAAGCAAATAGATAATAAGGAAAAGAAAAATAAAAACCTCTGGAGGAAGAGGGTAGAACATCTATGAAGATTCTCAATCATCCAGGTTAGGATTGTCCCAAAGGTGCTTTTTCCAAAAGGCAACTGGACTTTCTTCATTTTTTTCCTCAAAAAAGTTTCACTTTTAAGAAGCTTCATCAGTTCAACTTCTTGGAACAGAAGCAAACCATTTTCAAAGAGAAAAAAAACCAAGAAAGTCCCATTTCTTTTTGGAAAGGGCATCTTTGGGACAAGAGGGTAGGACAGAAAATGATACTGGTTCTCAGTGTGTGCCTGCAAGGGGACGTTTTCCAGTCTCACCCAACTGCTATAACAGAGATGGCTAACCTTTTTGCCATCGCATGCCAAAAGCGGGGGAGCATGGGGGGGTTACACGCATGTGTGCCCATACCCATAATTCAATGCCCCCCATGTCCCGCCCACATCCCCCTGCTTTTGGCACACAATGGCAAAAAGGTTGCCGGTGGGCCCGGTAGGCCCATTTTTTGCCATCCCTAGGCTCCAGAGGCTTTCTTGGAGCCTGGAGAGGGTGAAAACTGCCGCCCCCACCACCACCCTGAGGCCCTCTGGAGGCCGGAAATGGCCCGTTTCCTGACCTCCAGTCAGCCCAGAAGGCCCCAAATCAGCTGGCTAGCACACACACGCACGCTGGAGTTGAGTTAGGGCAACGCTCGTGTGCCCACAGATATGGCTCCGCGTGCCACCCGTGCCATAGGTTCGCCATCACGGTGCTATAACCTCACCCACAAACATATCTTGCTCTCCAAAGTTGTGTGGCCCACTGCACTCCAAAATGCACCCCACCTGGCAGCTCTTGAGACCCCATGGTGTTCTTCCGACAAGCAGGCTTCTGGGTGACTTGGTTGGAGCACCAATCCAGCAGAGAGCAGGAGGGACACATTTGTCCTGCCCCTCCGAAGAAGCTCAGCTGCCAATCGGAGGAGGGTGTGCCAAGAGGGCGTCTACGCAGCCTTGTGGCTGAGATGGGGTGGAAGCCTGTGCAGAGCCCAGAAATTCTTCCTGGCAGCCACCTTTGGCCTCTCACTGTGCCCAGGCTGCTGAGGTAAAGCTGGTGCCTCACTTGGATGCCAGGCCCAGATTCACCCACTGGGAAACTGGAGACTCTTCCCCAGCATCCCTGGCTGGCACATGTCATCTTTCTTCAGTGGGTGACAGGTTGGTTCGCAGGCCCTGCTGGCCAGCCTGCTTAACCCCCACCCCACCCCCACCTTACGAAACAATTCTTCCAAGTGAACCTGACATGACTGTAAGCAGAAGCAGAATTAAGAGACAGATTAAAAATACAATAAATACAAAACTCCTGCCGGGGTAAAGAGGTGTATTCGGATGCTCTGAATGTGGACGCCTTCCAGGAAGCTGCCGTGTTCTGCCCGCAAAGATGCACGTCGACAGCTCCGGCAGGGTCCTTTGCAGAGAGCGAGGGATGCCCAGACCTTCCCTGGGTACGTTTTTCAGTTCCCTTCCCTCGCCTGGTCGCTTCTTCCGCTTGGCAGATCGTGACTGGCGCCGCCTCGTCCGCTCGACGGGCCTTCTGTGGCGGAGGGAGGCTCGGAAGGGCGCTTCGGTCGCAACGTCTCTCTGGGCGGGGCTGCCTCGGAGCCGGGTCGACGCCGCCCAGACCCTGCCTTGGCCCCGCCGCGGCCGCCTTGGACGCCCACGGGATGGAGGGTCGGCCAGAGCCGCCCCCTTCCTGCTGGACCGCGCCCGGAGCGCTTCAGCCAGAGCGGCAGTTGAGCTTTGCGGAGCGGAGCGCAGCGCACGCACTGGCTCGGGTAAGTCCGAAGGGGCCGGGGCTTCGCGGCTTGCCCTGTTCCCCAACCGGCGGCTCCTCTCGAGACAGACCGGAGCGACTCGCTCTGCACAACTGCGCTGGTCTTGTGCGAGGGGGAGGGACGCTTCGGCGTCCTTCGGGCCCTTCCCAGCCTGGCTCACTGGACGCGGCCGAGAAGGGGCGTCGCACATCTGCTGGCCGGGGGAAAGGCTCAACTCGCCGGCTTTTTCCGAGCCTCCGCGCTCTTCACGACCCGGCCACAGGAGAAGGCGCGCCCTCAGCTTTCTCCCCGTCGGCCCGACAGCCCTCTCCTCTCGGATATCAACGAGGAGAATCTTGGATGCCCCGCGGCCCGGGAAAAGCCAGTGCCGGGGGATCGGGGGAGGGGGGGGGGGGTCGAGGGACCTTGCTGAGCTTGGCCCAACTCGAGTTTGCAGAGCGGCCGCTTTTTCTCCTTCCATATTCGCAAAATGTCCCCAGAGCCGCTGGTTGGGCTTTTTCAACTTTTGATTGATAGTTTCCTTTTTTCATCTTTGACTTAATTCGGGGCAGCAGTTCTGGTCTGCAGACTCCAAACGAGCACCAAATGGCAGCCAACGTTGGTGGCTCTGTGCTGCGGTCTCAGAGCTGCCCTGCGAGCTTCCCTCCTGCTCTTGAGTAGAAAACCAACTGGGGGTGGCGCTCCTGGCTGGAGTGACAGTCTCAGGGTACCTAGCACCAGCTAGGATAGGATGGTCAAGCTGCTCCTGGCTGGGCTGCTCACCTGTAGGTACCTGGGCTCTGCTTCCCAAATCTCCCAGGAGCTGCTTCTCGAGTTGCGAAATGGTCCAGGTGGTTTGGGACAACCCACACAAGAAGAGCTGGCAGCGTCTTCAGAACCCAGGCAGCAGCTCCTAGCTGACTGCAGATGGCTTTTCCTGTTTGATTGGATCATGAACTCTGCAACCCCAGGAAAGCTCCTCAGCTCCTCTTCCTGTATTTAGCAAGTGAGAATTGGTGTTCCAACTCAGGAAGGGAGTCAGTTCCTTTCCTGAGAGCTGCTGAGATCTCGGGGAAGCCCACTTTGCCTGGGCAAGGCCCTTGCCAGTGCTTCCCCCACCTGGACTTGGGCAGTCCAGTGCCAGGAATGTACTGGGGGGGTGGGTCATCCAGGAAACAATGGGAGGAAAGGTCTTGGCACTACTGGCCCTGCTGTCAGGGCCAGGAAATAAAGCTGCCAGGATGTTTGCTGTCTGGTTTGGGGGCAGGAAAAGGAGAGGACAAGACAGGGGTCTCAAAAGGAAAGTCCTTTGGAAGGAGAATGGGAGCAGAGCCCAGAGGCTGCAGGGGGGCAAAGGAGGAGGTGAGAGCAGAGCTCTTGGGGGATGACCAGAATCCAGATAAGGAGGGAGGGACCAGGTGGACAGGAGGGCTGCAGCTGATCCTTGGAATCGGCTTTGAGGGGCCCAGGTGCTTTTAGCATCCTTGGGGTCCAGCATGGGAGAGGGAAAGCCTCATTCCTCCCACCCTGGGCCTGACTTGCAGAAGGACTCAGACCAGCTTTCCCCCTTCCCACAGCTCTTGTCTCATTGCTGGGCCTGTCATTGGAAGCCATCCCTGGAGCCCGAGGGCTTTGTGTTTCACAGCTCAGCCTAAAAGGGATCCTTTCAAGCCAGGAATCTAGGGCTGATCCTCCCTTCTCCTTACCCAGCTCCAACTTTTGTACTTGCTCATGCGGTCTCTCTCCAGGACATATGGTGCCTGTTCCGCTAACCAACTTTCCTAGGAAGGAGAAGAGGAGGCCTCTAAAAACGGGACCACCCTTAGCCTGCTGAGGAGAGAGGAGAGAGGAGGAGACACTGATTTGAGGGCATCTAACTGGAAGGGTTTATCAGGATCGGGACCCAGAATCAGCCACAGGATGCTGGGCTGCGGGAGGTGGGTGGGCAAACTGGGAAGCCTCCTTTCTCTTGAGCTGAATGCCCTAGCACAGCCAGCAGGAAAGAGAGAGAAATGGGCCCGGAGTCTCTGAGGGCAACCCCTGATTCTGGCAATCTGTCCTGAAGGAGTAAGTTCTCTTTTCTTTATTTCATTTTTGCTCCTCTTGACTCTTGAGTTGACACTAATTTTAGCATTTTGTTCTGCTCTTGATTTTCACAGCCCCCCCCACCCTCAGTGTGCTCTGTGGCAACCCCTCCTGCGCTCACTCCCCCAGCTCAGCTTGACTGGGCTTGTGACCTGCTCTCCCAAAGCCAAGCTTCTTCCTCGCACTTGCCAGGTCTCCCCACCCGGCCAGGGCAAGGCTGCTCTCAAGGGGCAGGTGAATGAGATGGGTGGGCAGGTTAATGTCCAGCACAAGTGCATAACAGGCACAGTGATCTAGCAAGGCCAGATCGTGGCGCCTGTGCCTGAAATGGATCTGGGCTGACCATCTGTGGGAAAGAGGCTGAGTCACTTTCTTGGGATGTCTCTGCTGGGTGGAACTGCAGCCTCGGCCCTTGTTCTGCCCCCCCCCCTTGAGTTTTGCTGAGACTACAGAATGCCTGACATTCTCCCCAACCTTCCAGCTGCTCAGCCATGAGCGGAGGGGGGGAGGGACTGCCCCCCAATTCTTTTTGCTCACTGCCTCTTCCACTCAAACTATGGGAGCTTCTGAAGTCATGTCAGCATCTCCCTCCGGCTGGCTCAGGGACTGAGGAGTTCTTCACCAGGCCCAGTCTGGGACTTCCTTGGGTCCACTTTTATTTTGCTGCCCATGCTTGGGGAATCTTGGCTTCCAACCCTGAATGTGTGTAAGGGATTTACTGTGCTGTTGCCAAAGAGGCAACTTGGACTCCTGCTGAAAGAGGCCTCTGACGGCTGTGGGTTGGCTTCCAAAGAAGCACAGGGCACTGCCCTCACCTCCAGGGGCTTCCCACCAGGCCTGGCTGAGCCTTGCTGGAAGCTATTTCCTGGGCTCCATGGAAGGCCTGGCCAGGGGTGAAATGCTCCCGGTTCAGACTGGATCGCCTGATCCAGTAGCGATGACAGCGGGTGGTTTGGAGAACCGGTAGCAAAAATCACTGCGCCCTCCCCTCCACCATGCCCAGCTGAGCTGCACGATCATCAGAGGCTTTTTTTTTTTTACTTTTAAAAGCATTTTTTCAGCAGAAGTAGTTGTAGAAAAAATGCTTTTAAAAGTAAAAAAAAAAAAAAAGCCTCTGATGATCGTGCAGCTCAGCTGGGCATGGTGGAGGGGGGGCCACAGGGATTTTTGCTACCGGTTCTCCGAACCACCCGCCGCCATCGCTACCGGATGGAGAATAAGATTTGGAGATAATTATGAAATGAATGGGTTGTTGAAATAAGCTAGGCGGAAAAAACTTTCATGGAAACAAGCGGGGATGTTTAGTGATAAACTGAAGAATGGAAGAGCACAAAAATGTCACCGATCGACACACTGTCTGTAATTGTTTGGAAAGATAATGTTTTTATGTTTTGTTTGTTTTTTAAAAAAATAAAAAAATTCTTTTAAAAAAATGCTTTGAAAAGGCTCTGACGATCCCAGCTGTGTTGCCTGATTGGCAGAGCCTTTTCAAAGCCTTTTTTTGCAATTGAAAAAAAAATGCTTTGAAAAGTTAAAAAAAAAAAGTGGGCCACGCCCACCCAGTCACATTACCCTCCCATCACCAAGCCACGCCCACAGAACTGGTAGTAACAAATTTTACATTTCACTCCTGGGCCTGGCCCAATTGGCCGAGGCATTCAACCCCTCCGGCTTCTACTTGGCCTTTTGGTGACCACAAAAACTTCTACGTTCCTAGCCCTGCCAGGGATTGCCTGTCCAGAGCCAGTGGACTGAAGACCCTCCTAGCTATATGTTACATCCTTTCCTCTCTTGCTACAGGTCCCCTTTGTCCTCCCAGGCTGGTCCCGAGTTGCCCCAGTGGGCAGGCAAGCAGGGAGAGGCAGCAGCCCGGCTCCCTGATCCCTCTGCTTGGTCAGAAGAGGGGGGCTGCTCTGGCTGCTTTTGGGCCCTGCTCCTGCTCAATGGTCACTGTGGAAAGGAGCCTTTGGGGCTGTCATCCACAGTGATCTCTGAAGAGGCGTGGAGGAATTCTCCTTGGAATGCTGGCAATGCCAGAGGCCTGGCTGGGACTCAGCGCCCCTTTGTGTTCCTGGGCAGGGAATGTCTGGCATGGAGCCCTGACCTTTTGGGGAATGGAGGTGCGTGGGCCCCAGTGTCCAGTGTGGGAATGAAATGCCCTGCCTGAACAGCAGCTTGGGCCCCACCAGGACTGGGCTGGAAGGCAAGAAAGGAACTGCTGATGATGCCTGAGGGGTGGGGGGGATCCCAAAGGCATCCATGGGGCAGAAATTGGTTCTCTTTTCCAGAGGCCCCGGGGGAATGGAGGGGGTGGCCTTCCCAAGGGCTCACCCTGTCCAGATGAAAGGCATAACAAGCAGTCTTAACATATATGTGTTCCCTGCCCCAAGCTGCTTCCAAATTAAAACATAACTGAGAATTGTTATTAGTATTTGTATACTTCCCAATGTCTCTCGATGGCATACAAACTTAAATAATAACAACATCTAAAATAAGTGCCCAGGTGTGGTACAAATATGGCAGAATCATTGCAAAATTCCATCCAATCAATTGTTTGCACAAGGAATAGCAATAGCACTATAACGATAGCACTTAGACTTATATACTGCTTCACAGTGCTTTACAGTCCATATTTACAAATGTCAGCATTTTGCCCCAACAATCTGGGTCCTCATTTTTCTGACCTCGGAAGGATGGAAGGCTGAGCCAACCTTGAGCCAGTCAGGATCGAACTCCAGCGAGTTCACCCAGAGGGACCTTGAGAACGTGTTGTGTTGTAGCCTGCTTTCAAGCAGAGCAGCCCCCAACCCAGGGCTGACCAGCGGGAAAGGAAACAAAAGTCCCACGGAGGGTTTTCTTTCTGCCACTCTGCAGCCACCAACTCCACAGCAGTTCAGGAGGTGGTGGTCCACGCCTTGTGCTGCTGCCCGTTCTAAGGCCACAGCCACAGGCCAGGCAGCTTGATGTATCCTGCAGAGTTGCCTGAACTGTGAGATTGGTGACAAATAAATTTGAAAAATAAATAAATTTGATGAAGAGAGGGAGGGAGAGAGAAAGAGAAAGAATCAACCATTGGCTTCCCCTCCTTAAGGAAAGGAGAAATTACCGTATTTTCTGCAATATAAAATGCACTGTTCCCCCCCCCCCAAAAAAAGTGGGTGGAAATGTCTCTGTGTCTTATAGAGCAAATATTGCGGTGGGGGGGGAGTGGGTTGGTGCAGCGGCAGCATTTGCCGCTGCCGCCTGTCACTGCTGCCGCTGTTCACCACCGCTGGGGAACGCTGGAGCCTTCGCTGACAAGCAGATGATTGGTGATTGGATCGGCGATTGGTGATTGGAATACTACCGATCAGCTGTTCTAGGCAGCGGGGATCGCTGCCACTTGCTGCTAATTGCCACTGCCACTGCCAATCGCCACCGCCGAATGGCCATTTGGCGGCAGCGAAGAGCAGTGGTAGTGAACAGCAATGAACAGCTGCAAACGGCAGCAATAGATGGCAGCAATAAGCGGCAGTGATCCCTGCCGCCTAGAACAACTGATCATCAGTATGCCAGGAAGCCAATCCAACCACCAAGCAAATGCTTGGCAGTGAAGGCTCCAGTGTTCCCCACCGGTGGCAGCATCTCCTCAATTCAATTGACTGGTGGTGGGCGCAACAGAGCGGAGCCCTGACGAGCCACATGCTGGGGCTGCAATAACGTGCTGAAGCTGACCAGGCTGTTTGCTGCAAAAATGCTAGCCAAATGAATACCGGATGGATGCTGGGAGGCAGAGGCAGATTTTTTTTTCTTGTTTTCCTCCTCTAAAGCTAATGTGCATCTTACGGTCCAGTGCGTCTTATAGTGCGAAAAATATGGTACACCTGGAATGAGTCTTATGAGAGGCTTCCAGGTCCAGGTTTGCTATCTTTGAACAGCTCTATCCACTTTTCAGATGGTAACTGATGTCCTGGCCTAAAACGCCCCTCGCCCTCCACTTTGACTTACTCAGCCCTGGAAAGGCACCCTTAACCAGTGCCCTTTTGGAAAACTGGTTCAGAGGTGGATCCCTGCCGGATACTGGCCAAACTGGACTTGCTGTCTCCCCAAAGATGCCTCCCTTGCTTTAAGTCAGCAATCCTGCCCCCCACCCCCGCCTGCCTGCTTCCCTCCTTCTCCCACCTAGGCATGAACTCTGTTGATTCTTTCTAAGCCAAAGAATCTTGGAACGGGTTCATTCTGCCTGCCCACCTGTCCAAAACCAGAACAGAACGAGGCCACACTGAGAGTGGGGGCAAAAGCCTACCAAGGAAAGGATGAGGTCATAACAGGCTGGATTCAGTGAGCAATTCTGCCAACGGCAACTGGGCAGTGGTTCTGAATGTGGCCAACTCCTGCAGTATCTGCTCCCCCCTCCGCCCCAACTGATGGGAGCTGGAGCCAGGCTTCCTGGAGGGGCAGAAGGAACGGCAGCAGCCCTGCCTTCCCTGGCATTCAGCTTCCTTGCAGCTGGCCTTCCTGCCGGAGCCAAGGGAAGCTCCTTTGCCTCTGGGCTTCGGGTGCTCTTCACACACACCCCAGCAAAGTCTGAGACATTTTCCTCCTCCTGGAAAAAGGGGCAGCTTTGGGGAGGGGGGGGCGGAGTGCCATGCCAAGGCTGGACTGCTCTGGGGCAAGGAGGACTTATGGGTGCCTGCAGGAGGGTAATGAACCTACTCCATGACAACCCACTTGCAACTGATGGGGAGGAGGTTTTAGCCCCCCCTCCAGCAATCATGTTTTTGCTCCCTGTTCCTAGTGGGGGGTGGGGGGTGGGCAGAGGGATGTGCTGTCTGCTGCAGTCCTGGGCCCACTCTGAAAGGCCTCAGGTGAGAGGGAGTGCAGGAGAGGATTTGTTCCAAGGGGGTCTCTCGTGTAGGTGGAGGCAGGAGGGAGAGCCAAGACTACTTTGGGGTGATTCTTGAAGCTCGGACATCATTGTTCCGGGGGGGGGGGGGGGCAGAGGAGATTCTAAGGATGTCTTGGCACTCTTGCAGGGAACGTGGCTGATGCTCCCACCTCTGCAGCCTACAGAATCTCTGCTGGGGTTGAGACACACTATCCCCTTCCAGGCCTACAAGAGAAGCTTCATGTGGTGCTGAAGGGTGCCCTCCTGAGAAAAGCACGAACCAGGGAGGAGATCCTGAAGTGGAGGGGCACATCCTTCTGCTACCCCCTCCCCCAAGATGACAGCACAATTCATTGCAATGGAGGTGAGCATGGCGGGAGGCTGCAGAGCTTCAATGGCTACAGGAAGGGACCTCTGAATGGCAGGGGGGCCTGTAGGATCACCTTGCCTTGGAAACTAGGCATGAGCCCCAGAAAGCCCCAGCTCAGCTGAGCAAACGGAGCCAAGCTCAGCGAGGCCTCTGGATGGGCCTGGGTCCTCTCTTCACCTGAAGTCCCCTGCAGGCAGAAGTTGCTAGGTGGCTTTGGCAAGGTGTACCTGGCAGGGCAGGTAAGCCAGCTTTGGCAGAAGACTCTGCTTTGCAGCCATTATCAGACAGACTTGCCATCTGAACATGCTTCCCAGTGTACCCTCCTGTCCTCTGCCTCCTCCACTCCTGCAGCTCCTTGAGGTTGCCCTGCTTGACAAGCAGCTTTGTAAAGAGAGTCCTCCAAAGCAGCCAGTTTTTATCATGTGGCAAATTTAGTAGACACCCCACTTCCCATTCCAGGAAGCCAAAGGCAACAAATGGATGGATGGATTCTTCTTTCCTCTGCAGAAGACCATTGAGGCCTCTGAGCTGCTGGAGATGGTAGTGGAGACTGAGGCTGGAGCTGGGGCCCGGGGGCTGAGCGTGGCCGGTGGAGGGAAGGAAGGCCTTTTTGTGAAGGATGTCCTCAAGGACTCTCCAGCTGCGCGAGTGCTGAGTCTCCAGGAAGGTGAGTGATCCAGAAGGACCCAACTCAGATCAATCCTTTTTATTAGTTTATAATATAAAATACAAAAGCAAAGTATAGGAAAAGTGTAAAGAAGGGAAAAAGAAATAAAAGACTTTCTTTGATGCAGTAGAATAAGAAGTAACACCAAACCTCAACTTTTTTACTTTTGCATAATAGTATAAACTAGCCATTTCTATAACAACAGATCTATCTAATCAGTATAGCTCAAAATCAAAGTTTCATTTTTTTCCACCTCAAGCACAAAGTCCAGAAGCGGTTTCCAAGTAGAAACAAAAGTACTTGTGTTTTTGTCTTTGATCAAAGCCATCAGTTTAGCCACCTCTGCTAACTTCACCAGCTTTTGCAGCCGTTCCTCCGAGGGCATTAAAGCATCCTTCCATTTTGTGCATAAAGTGATTTTGCTGCCATCAACATACATAACATCAAAGCTCCTATTTTTCTCTTCCTTTTTCCCTCCCCTATTTTGCCTATTTGCTTTTGTATTTCATATTATAAACCAATAAAATGGGTCGATCCAGAAGGGCCCAACTCAGGGGGGCAGAAACTGGCAGCAGCAAGCCTGGCAGGACGAGAGGGGGCACTGCCTCGTCCGGCTGCTTTGGACCGCTCAGGCCTTTCTGCTCTTATGACTTCAAAGGCTGCATCTGTGGGAGAATGGGTTGCCTGGTAGCCAGAGATCTTGGGAACCAGCCTACCGCAATTTCCTTAATACCCTCCCTCACCCATCTTGCAACTTGCAGGGGATCAGCTCCTGAGTGCCAGAGTTTACTTTGACAACATCAAGTATGAAGACGCCCTGCAGATCCTCAAGTGTGCCGAACCGTACAAAATCTCCTTCTGCCTGAAGCGGGTGGTTCCCAGCGCAGACGTCTCTCGCAAGCCCGGAGCCACAGTCTTTGAAGTGAGAGGCCCCAAAGCCAAGATGGCCAAGCTGGTAGGTGACGCTGGGTGTTTTACCCCCGGGAACCCAGACTCTGCCTTCCTCTGCACAGCAGCCACCCAGGGAGGGCAGGTGACAGCCCCAAGCCGAAGCTGAGGTGGAGCACAAGGGGAGATCCGTCCGCTGTCCTCAGAGGCTGTCTCTTTCCAAGAACAAGTTTGGAGGAGAAATGGGGAAGTGATTTTCGTTGGGCTTCTCGGCTGATACAAGAACGGGGAGTCTCCTAGGCAGTCATCCCAGAAGGGATATTTCTGATAAGTAAGTTTACTGCAGGACTAAGAAATCCGTTAAAGGGCAATTCCAGCAGTGGCTGCATCTAAAATGCAAGCTGCATTTATAATGGAATCCAGATTCAATCCTGCAGCTTTTTCCTCCCACTTGTACCGTCCACCACTGGAACCAGGAGGAGTGACTTTGTCTGTCCCCTTACGGAGTGGGTCTAAATCAGAATCGGCTCTCGCAGGTTCCTCTTCAAGCACCCCGAGGGGTTTCTGGAGGGCGATGAGACCGATCTGCTCAGCTCGAGGCAGGATGTTTGTTCATTTCTCTTCCCAACAGCCTGCACATTTGTTTGCTTCCTAACCTTCCTGCTTCCTACAAACTCTTCAGAAAGATTGGTTGGGCCCTTTTCCCTCTCCTGTTTTGTCCCTGGAGTCCCCTTGCATTGTAGGGAAGGCTGAGAGGGCCTAAAGAGAGCCTGATGCCGACTTTTCCTGGACAGGCCTGATGGCTTGAGAAATCAGAGCCCGGAAGCCCCTGCTCCTCCCCGTTAATTGTAAAGGCAGAGGAGCTCTGGAAATGGGGCTGTTTTTCTCCTGAACCCTTATATGCAGGAATTCTGCCAGAGACCATTGAGATCTGCCTGGGAGAAGCGTCCCTCAGATCTCAGGGAATGAGGCAGGCCTCTTGGCCAGGGAGGCTCACCAACCCCTTGCTTCTTCTTGCTTTTCTTTTATGTACACTGAGAGCATATGCACTAAGACAAATTCCTTGTGTGTCCAATCACACTTGGCTAATAAAAAATTCTATTCTATTCTATTCTCTCCCCAGAACATCCAGGGTCTCTCCTCTCTGAAAAGGAAAAAGAAGAAGAAGAAGAAGAAGAGGATGGTGGCACAGAGCCTGCAGGAGACGGAGGCACACCTGGCAGCCGGGAAGCCCGAGGTGGCCCCGGTTGATGTGGAGTTCTCCTTCCCCAAGTTCTCCAAGCTGCGCAAGGCCAGGAGTGCTGGAGAGGTGGCCGTAGCTGAACCGAGCCCAGGCGTTTCGCGGAAGTTATCCTCCCTGGAGACAAAGCGACACCGACTGAAGTTCCCCCACCTCAAGGTCAAGGAAGCAGTTGCGGTTGAGGCCCGCCTTGCCATGGGCCTGCCCCATGCTGGTCTGGAATTGAAGGAGGCAGGCAGGGGAGGAGGCGAGGGGAAGATGTTCCGATTCACTATGCCTTTTTCCAAAACAAAGAAGCCCAAGGAAGAAGCCAGGACAAAAATGGAAATGGGATTCCAAGCCCCGCAAGTAGAGTTTGCTCTGCCTAAGATGGGGGCTGAGGATGAGTCTCTCGAGGCCAGCCCCAAAGGTGAGAGCCTCGCGGTCTCAGAATCTCTTTTCGGGTGGCCCAAAGTGGAGGCTGCCCTGCCCAAAGGAAGCGCCGGTGCGCTGGAGACTCACCCAGGTCTTCTCCAGGCTGGGCTGAAGCTCCCTGCAGCTGAAGTGGCAGCTCCCAAGGTGGACGTAGATTTGGCCCTGCCCAGGTTGGAGTGTACCCCAGAGGCTGCCCCTAAAAGGGAGGGGTTCAGAATCAAAGTCCCCAAGTTTGGGATCTCTGACGAGGAAGCAGAACTGAAGCTGCCCTTGATGAAGGCTCCTGCCCTGGGAGAAAGTCAAAAAAATGTTTTGGAGGACCAGCTGAGACCAGGAGGGACAGTGCCTTCTCTGGGCATAGTAGCTCCTGGTGTGGATCTAGAGCTTCCCAAGGGGAAGACGGGCATGGACAGCCCTGAAATCTTGGGCAGAGTCTCCTTGGTCAGCCTACCCCAGCTGGGCTCCAAAGCCCAAGAAGGAGGAGCAGGCAAACTGCCCCGGGTGGAAGTCAGCCTGGGGACTCCGAGGAGCTCCAAGGCAGACAAGACAAAGGGCTCCGTAATTCAGCTGCCTGGCCTGGAGATTTCCCTGAGGGAGCAGCCTTTGGAGAGCCAAGAGGCAGCTGGAGCGGCAGGTGGTACTCAGGTGAAGCTCCCTGAGGTGAGGGTGCCCTCTCTTGACATCTCTGCCCCCAAAGTCCAGGATATGCATCTTTGCAAGGCCATGGGGGAACTGGCTGCCCCTTCTGGAAGGGCAAAACCCAAAGAGGCTGCTGAAGGGGCTGGATTTAACCTTCAAATGCCTCAAATATCCCTCCCAAAATTTGATTTCCCTGTCAAGGCAGTCCCCTCCCTGCCTCCAGTCCAGGTCAAAATGCTGAAACCAGAAGGAGACCCCGGAACAAAGGTCAGCCTCCCAAAGGTGGATGTTTCCTTGCTGGCAATGAAGGTGCCAGGTGTGCAACTTCCTAAGGTGCCAAAGCCTGAGCTGGGCATCTTTGTTGAGAAGCCAGAAGTTGAGATAACCGCTCCTCCAGCCCCATTGAGCCTTCCATCTGCCACTGTGCCTGCGCTGGACATTCAGCTGCCGAAACTTGGGGTAGAGCTGGATTTGGCGAAGCGTGAAAGAGACGTTTCTAAGCAGGGACCTAAAGCCCAGGAGGTCACCCTAGAGACCCTGAGCAAAGACCTAGAGGTAGAAATCAGTCTCCCGAAGTGTGAGGTCGGCCAACCTGAGCTGGAGCCAGTGATGAGGAGCATCGAAGGGCCGGCTCTTGCTGGGATGATAGCCAAATTCCCGAAGGTGGACCTTGCCTTTGAGAAACAGCCATCAGACGCTGAAGGGCCAAAGACTGACCTAGAAGAAGCCAAGATGAAGCTGCCAAATGTAGAGATCCCACCAATAAGTCTCCCAGAGTTGACTACTGAGAGTCAGGTCAAGGCAAAAATATCTCGATTTGCACTGTCCAAATTCAGCATTTCAGGCCCCAAAGTCTGGAGCAAAATGAGCCCAGAAGTTTTGGTGTCTGGAGTGGAGGGCAGAGAAGCTGCTGACTTGGGTACAAAGCTGAAATTGCCAAAGTTTGGGATCTCTTTCCCCAAATCAAAATGGGAAGCAGAGGCAGAAGATGACAAATTAGCCCTTGAGGGTGAAGGGGAAGTGCCCAAGGAAAGGCTTGGCAAAACTACAGAGAGCAGAATGAAGTTGCCCACAGTGGAGGTGGATATTGGCCGCCCACAAGGCATGGAAGGATGGTCTGACGGAGACAGGGAGGGAACCTCTCCTGAACTCCTCGGTGTCCAGTTTAAAGGGCCAAAACTCTCACTACCGAGCTTTGGGGGCAAAGGCAAGGAGGAAGAGTGGGGTGCCCTAGAGAGTGAGGGGGTAAAGCTACAAGGCAACAAGGGGGGCTTGACAGGGCAGCCGGAGGCCAGGATGTTGGAGAAGGACGCCAAGGCTTCCAAGTTCAGGATAGCTTCTTTTGGCCTCATGAGGAGAGAAGTGGAGGCCAAAGCCAAGAAGGTCCCTGGGAGTCCGAAGGAGAAGCCAAAAGGCCCATTTGGGAAGATGCCCCAGCTGAAGCTTTCCTCTCTGAAGGCCCAAGGAGAGAGAAGGAAGGTCCACCTTCTAGCTCCAGAACTAGATGAGAAAGTCCTCCCCCAGGTAGAGTTGCCTAAGCTTGCCCCCAGAGCCAAAACAGGGCTGATCCCAGAGCCGGAGAGCCCTGGGTTCAGGGTTCAGGTGCCATCCGTGGAGATTGCTGTGCCTAGTTCCAAAGCTGAAGGGGAGGTGACTGTGGAGAAACTGGCAGGAGATGCAGCCAAGGTGGAGTTCCAGCAGCAGGAGGGAGAGCTCAAGAGGCCCAGAGCGCCTCCCATCCAGGTGTCTGCTCCCACACTAGAGCTGGACATTGGTTTTCCCATGGCTGGTAAAGAAGAGGGCATTCTCCAGGCAGCCCCTGGCACAGGTGCCAAGATCAAGCTGCCAAAGGTGGAGCTGGAAAAACTTGGGAAGGGTGAGGAGGAAGAAGCAGAGGCAACTGTGCAGTTCCTGGGGAAGGAAGGAGAGAAAGACCTAGAAGGGGTGGCTGAAGCCTGTGCCCTGGGCACCAAGGTACGGCTGCCCAAGGTGGACATTTCATTTCCCAAGACCTGGCTGTCAGAGGGGGAATTGCCTTCAGCCAAGGTGGATCTTGGCCTGGAAGAGTCAGAGGCAAAATTCAAGATGCCCTCAATGGGGCTGCCGAAACTCAGCACCCCAAAAGTGAAGGCTCCTGAGCTGGAGCTTGATATGGGTTTGGATAGGGGAGGGATGATATCCAAGGTCACAGTAGGCACTCCTTCAGTGAAGTGGCCTAAATTTGGGGCCTTGGGTTCAGCAGGAGATGGGCAGGGTGAGGAGGATTTGCCCAGGGTCCCCCAACTGGAGTTGAAGCCTCCCAAATTCAGAGGAAGCACAGATGCCTTGGACTCTGAAATGGGGGCAAAAGAGGGCTGGCTAAAGGTGCCCACTCTGCTGGAAACAGAAGCTGGGATGGGCACCAAGGAGAGCAGATTCAGGCTGAAGCTCCCGTCATTCAGCGTCTCCAAGCCAGAGGCTGAGTTGAGCCTGGATACCCAGCCCCTCTGTCTTCCTGTCGAGGAGGCAGCGCCTGCCTTCAGGATGCCCCAGATTGCTTTGCCCGATGTTGGCTTCTCTGGGGATCAGGAGAAGGGAGAGGAGGCCAAGGAGGCAGGGGCAACAGACTTGGACGGAGGGCTGGAGGGCATGCTAAAGATGCCCAAAATCGGTATCACTGCATGTGGGACAGTAGACACCAAGTGGGGCGCAGACAACACCATTTGTCCAAGCCAGAGGGGTGTGGGTGGGGGAGAGCCAGAGGGGAAGAAATCGGTTTTTAAGGTCCCTGGCTTGGAAATTTCTGCTCCAAGTCTCAAAACTCATGCTGAATATGAGGTGGGGGCCCCCCACCCGTGGCAGAGGGAATTCTTGGATCTGGAAGGCACAGGCAGGGAGGGCTGGAAGCAGACAGATGGCCACTCAGATGCAGGGAAGCGGCACAGGGTGAAGATCCCCACATTTGGCCTCTTCCTGCCCAGGGTGGGGCTGGAGGCTCCCATGGGCCTTGTGGGGCAGGAGGCAGAAGCCAAGGGGGGCTTCTTGACCCTGGGAAGGGCCAAGGAGAAGGAAGGGTCTGCTGGGCTCCTGGCGAGAGAAGAGGAGAGCCAGGTTAAGGCCGCCAAACTCAAGCTGAGGCCCCCCTTTGGGGTCTCCCTCTCCAGGCCCAAGTGGGCCACCGAACTCAATGGGGAAGCCGAGGAGGAGGCTTCCTCCAGGCTGAAGGTGCCCAAGCTGGGCTTTTCCAAGGCCGAGGGAGCTGCCCAGCTCCAGGGAGAGAGGGTGGAGGTGCTGCTCCAGGATGGGGCGAGCAAGTTGGGGAAGATCCCACTGCCCCAGGTGGAACTCCTGTCTCCCTCTAAGGGGGCTGAGACTGACCCAGAGCTGAGCCTCAAACTGGTTAAGGCAGACGAGGCCAAGGAGGAAGCCCACTGCGGTGCCACCATTGCCACAGCCCTCAAGGCTGCCAAATTCAAGCCCCCCAGGATCGCACTCTCTGGCTTCAAGAAGCGCAACGGGGAGTTGGCCCCCGAGGCTGTAACTGCACCCAGGTCCCAGGCGGGGGGGACATCTTTGAAAACAACCACTAAAGGGGAGTCATCCAGCAAGTTCAGGTTTCCAAAACTGGCATTAAGCTCCAGATCCCAAGAGGTGCTGGAGATCTCCGAGCATCAGCAGGACCAGGAGGGGGGCAACTTCAGGCTGCCTGCTGTGGCTTTCTCTGCAGAGAGTGGCCCCGAGGAGGGAGGGCCCCCTCCCAGGAAGCCCATGGAAAAGGAGGCTCTCTGAATGAAGGTGCTCCCCAGCCTGGCTCACACCATGTAAGGCCCAGCACTAACTGCGAGGGGGAGGAGGGGAAGACATGCCTTGGCAGGGGGAGGGGCGGCTGGCAGGCACAGGTGTAGAGCCGCCTCTCTGATGGGCTTCCCTTTTTAACTGCCCCTCCACCACGGCCCTCCTCCTTTGCTCCGGGGCTGTGCCTTAAAAGAGGAAGCCAGCCCAGAAAGGGATGCAGACCTGGTAAGCCCATTGGGCACTGCCCCCTGCCTCCCGGGCACAAAAAAGACTTACCTGCCTTTTTCCATTAGAAGACATCCCCACTCCCAGCTCCTTTGATAACACTAATTCTGTAGCTTTAGAATTGGGAGGGGGGTTGGAAGAAGCTTTGAGTGGGGAAGCAGCTGGGGCTGTTCCATGGTGTTCGCAAAAGGGTCTAGCACTCAGGGGCAGGGCATGCCTCACACTGATGCTGCCCCTCATCTGGAGAGCTGGTGGGAGACATGCCTGCGGGAGGAGGATGCTGAGCCTCTGGGGACAAAAGGGCCGCCCAGGGGAGGCTGCTTCCACTGCTTTCACTTCAGAACCCCCTCCCCTCCCGTGGTCTTCTTCTCCCAAGGTATAACCTGGGAATAGCCCACCTGTGGCACCAAGGGAGGCACTGGCCTAGGGAAATTGGGAGAGTTAAGGGCAGTTTAGGGGGCCTCTCCCTCTTCTCAGATGGGGCAAAATTATTCAATGTGCTCAATGTACAGAAATCTTTTATTCTAAGTTTAACCAACGTGGCCTTCTGAAGTGGCCTTTTTTTTTAAAAAAACTAAAAGATCTGATAACTGCTTCTTTCCCAAAATTATAAACTGACCTTTTCTAAAACATGTAAAAGAAGATACACTATCTCAGATAGCCCATTCTACAGCTGCTGCTTGTTTTCTACCCTGGGTTTGAATAAAAATTAATCTGTGAACCAATTCCATTACATTTGCATCATGTTTCATCTTTGGGCTCTCCATAGATACAACACTTTTGTCCATCTCTGCACAGAACCAGCCCAGCAGTCAAAGTAGCCAAGGACTCAGTAATCCCTTCCCTTTTCCTTCCCTTTTGCATCACTTTGAAGGTGGGACTTCATAAAGTCAGTTCCGGCATCCAGAGATCCTGGCTTGTTCTGCCCTTGCACTGGTCACTTGCTGCTGGGGACCTGAAGTGAGCCAACTCCAAAGCAAATTCCTGTGCTGGAAATGCCATCACCACCTAAGCAGCAGAAACCAGGTCCTCCTCCATCTTGGATGCCAGGAGGGCATCTCTGCCAGTGCCTTCTCAGAGAAGGAAGCCAACATTTTGATAGGGTGTTGGGAGGCAGATTTGCAGGAGAGAAAGAAAAGCCAACAGCTGGGAATTCATCCAATGCTCTTTCTTGGGCCTTTGGGGCCACGTGCAGTGATCTGCAAAAGCACTGCGTTCATAAATAAATCTTTATAGTGTCCCAAGAGCAATGCCCTTCAGCAAGCTGGCTTTACTAGCCTCAGGCCAAACAAAGCTTCTTTACTGGGGCTTCTTCTCCTGGTGAGGGGCCGGCAAACATCTGGTCTGCAGGTGCCTTTAGAATTGACCAGGGGGGGCAAGAACATAAACTACAAGGGGGCTTTCTGCCCCTCCCGGGTGTTTGGTGGTGCTTTTGGAGGGCTGATGGGCTTGTAGAGCAGACAGATCCTTACACGGCTTTCTCTCTACAACCATTTCCCTCCTATTGGCCTTAAGGGAGACCTTGCGGGCAGCTGTGGTGTTCATTTACAGCCAGCTTGTTTTACAGAGGGAGTCCTCTCCTCAGGGACACTAAAAGATTATGTGTGGTACCCATATAAAGTTCTGCCTAATTAAATTAAATTAATTAATTATCAAACTGATAAGATCCTCTGAGCACGATGCCACGTTAAGAATCTAGGATTGAGCGTTGCATATACTCCAGGAATGTGAGAGACCCTTCACTCAAAGCACACCCTTGAACATAAGGACGGGGTGTGGGGTGAAAGGGGTTCCTCTGAGCGAACCACATCCCTCCACTCACCACGGAACGTCCGCTCCATATTGCAAACGCCTCTTCATACCCACCCATTTGCAGTACTCACCCTTGGCTAAAAGCAACCCTTTGGCTGGCACTGCAGAGGTGTTCCTGCACTGGGCTGGTTTCCTACCTTGGAGCAGCTCTTTCTCCCAGGAAAGGGGCTGTTAGGAGACCCCAGGGGGAGTGGGCTCCCTGCCTCCATAACAGAACTTTCTTCACCTGGCAACTCTGGAACCTGGCTGACTGTTGCATCACCTCCTGTTCCGGAGGAGGCTGGGATTCTCTTTGCTCCGCGGCGGCCGGACCTCTCTTTGCAAGAAGCCACTTTGCACCCATCTTTCTGAGCTTGGGCAAGCCCAGGACAATGGTCACAATCGAGTCAGAGTCCGATTTCTATGACGTCTTTGAGATTCTGGGGAAGGGCACATTTGGGGAGGTCGTGAAGAGCTGGAAACGGAGCACTGGAGAGATGGTCGCCATAAAAATCCTGAAGAATGACTCCTACCGCAGCAGGATCATCAAGAACGAGCTGAAGCTGCTGCAGACCATGTCCGAGGTGGACTCAGAGGAGTCTCACATCGTCCAGTTCCACGAGTTCTTCCACGATGAGCTCAAGTTCTACCTGGTCTTTGAGCTCCTGGAGCAAAACCTCTTCGACTTCCAGAAAGAGCACAACTTCTCCTCATTGCCGGTCCGGCACATCCGCACAGTGACCACACAGGTGCTGAGAGCCCTGGCCAAGTTGAAAGAGCTGTCAATCATCCATGCTGATCTAAAGCCAGAGAACATCATGTTGGTAGACCAAGTGAGGTACCCTTTCCGGGTCAAGGTGATTGATTTTGGATCAGCCAGCATCTTCAATGAAGTGCGCTACGTCAAAGAGCCTTACATCCAGTCCCGATTCTACCGGGCCCCAGAAATCTTGCTGGGGCTGCCATTCTGTGAGAAGCTGGACATGTGGTCCCTGGGCTGCGTGATGGCCGAGCTGCACCTCGGCTGGCCCCTCTACCCCGGGAACAACGAGTATGACCAGATCCGGTACATCTGCGAGACCCAAGGCATGCCCAGACCCACCCTCCTGAACGCAGCCCGAAAGGCCCACCTCTTCTTCAAGAGGAGCCAGCACCCCGAGGTGGTGAACTCCTGGCAGCTGAAAACCCCGGCGGAGTATCTGGCTGACACCAAAGTGAAGTCTGTGGAGAGGAGAAAGTACGTGCTCAAGTCCCTGGACCAGATGGAGACAGTGAACGTCCACAAGATGATCTACCCGGACACAGAAGCCCTGGCTGAATACTTTGACCTCCGGAGCATGGTGGAGCTCATTAAACGCATGCTGACCTGGGACTCTCACGAGCGCATCACCCCCAGTGCAGCCCTGAAACACCCCTATATTTCCACCCAACCCCTGAAGCAGAACTACGACCTCACCCAGTACTATCAGTTCTGCTTGAGGAGCCTCCGGGAGTCACTGCCCAGCCATGGCAAGGCTTCTGAGGAGGAAACGCAACATTACAGCGCCATGGACGAGGACCACTTCTACAGCCGGGAGGAAAGCGCCCACGGCATCCAGGGCACCACTAGCCAGATGGATGAGCTCAGCATTGCCGAAGCCAGCCGGGAGGTGCCCCTAAAGGTGTGGGGTGAAGGGCCCAGCGGGGGAGGCTATGATCCCCTCCCGGACCCGGCCGAGGCGGTGGCAAATCGGCACAGAGTGGCCCACCAGAGCCTCCGGCTGCGCCATGAGCAGGCCCAGCAGGAGCCCATTCCAGCCTACTACCGAAGCCGGCCTGGCAGCCCCAGACACCACAAGGCTTCTCACCACGTGAAGCCAGACCCCACCTTTGAGAATCTGATTCTTCTGGGGCAGTACACCCCAGAAGACCTCCCCGGCTGGGAGAAGGAGAGCAATGCCAGCGCCGCTTCCTTGCCAGAGTCCGGTGCCCGGGAGGAGGCGAGCTACCCCAAAGGCCTGGTCCTCTCACCCACCACACAGGTAACAAGGATGGTCAAAGGAGGCCACACATTAGGCAGGGGGCTGGATTTCATGAAACTGCAAAGGATAGAAGGAGCTCCCTGAGCTGATTGGTGGCATAACAAGGGAGTGTAGGCAATGGTTGAGGTGGCATGAATGGGGCCTCGGAGGACTGAGTCAGACATGGGAGGGTCTGCAGTACCCCCCCCTCCACACCAGTACTGTCGCTCTGGGGGTTGGCTCTCTCCTTTCTTCTAGGCCACCCATGAGGCTGCCTCAGTCTCCCAAGTCCACAGCAATTTTTCGCATATGCTCGCACCCCTCTTGAGCAGCGTCTCTGGGGAAGAATGCTCAGCCCCTCCCCATCCTTGCAGGTCCAGCTCAGGAGCCCCTCACCAAAGCCAAGAGGGCCCACTGGCTGTCCTAGCCCGAGACCAGTCGGCCTCTTTCCACCCCCAGTGGGCTTGCAGGGAGTTATGGGAGTCGTAGCAGGCTGCAAAGGCAATCACAGAATCTGCACATTCCAGGCTCAGCATGGACACCCACCTCGGAGAAAAGGAACATACCACAACTACCCTGAGGGGGTCTTTTGTTGGATTGTTTATTCATGCACACACCCCCATCCGTGGCCTTTGTAGCTCTCATCTTCCATGAAGCTTGGCAAAGTGCTCTCCTCCCAGCAGGCCAGCCCAGCCCAGCCCTCCCTAGCTTGGAGAGGGGGTGGGTGGGTAGAAACCAATCAATCTTGGCAAGACTGAAGAAGAGGAAGATGATGCAAAAACGCTTCCAGGAACCCAAGCCCCCCCAGCAGCCTCTCTGACTCTGAATGGGGCCTTGCCCAGAGCACTTCAGCCGCTCCATGGTCTCTCTCAGCACCTCCCCGGGCCCCCTTCCCCAGTAATGCTCTGTTTCTCTTTGGCAGCACGGGCAGTCAGAGGTCTTTGAACCGGCTGTGCCACTGCCCGGGCCAAACCCCTGGCTGCCCAGTGAGGAGTGGCTGGCCGAACACGGCATGGAAAGAGTCCCGCTCAAGGCCGTGCTGCACGCCTCCCGGAACCGCCACCAGCTGCAGCCCTACCTGCAACACGTTGCCAGCCACCACTAGCCCCGGACCCTCGGCCAGGAAGAGGGCAGGCGCAGCGGAGAGATGGCCCACTGAGGCCCGGACAGATACCTTTCTAGACATTAAATATATAGACTGTTCCTCGCTGCCCAGCCCCACTTACTTAATAAACGCCATCTTGCTGTTACTGAGCTGTACGGAGCCCTGAAGGCAGGCCAAGGCAGACCCGGCGGGGGGTGGGGGGTGGGGGGGTGGGGAGGTGATGGAGTTGGGGTGCTCTGACCAACCACAGTCAGCCCACTGGTCTTTCCAGGAGCCGAGGGCACCACACCCAGGCCGCACTGACTCCCCTGAGTGTCCAGGTGGCACTTGACCTGTTGCATCGTTAATAAACTCATTATCATTTACAGACTGCTTTGAGGGCATGTTTGTCTAGGGACCCTCCACGCTTCCGCCCTGACTTGCCTGCTGACCCCCACCCCCACTTGTGGCCTTCAAGCTTTGCTCCGCAGGGAGTATCAGCCTCCTCCCAAGGAGAGCCTGGGGTCTTGCAGGGAGGGAGGGAGGGAGGGCCAGGGCAGCAAGCAAGGCCTACCCTGGAAGGAGAGGGCGCCACCACCTGCGGCTGATCTCCGAGAATCTGGCGGCGGCGGCGGCGGCGGCGGCGGCGGGGAGAACCCACAAGGTCAAGCGGAGGGAGGCTTTCTGAAAGTGGCGGGCAGCCCCCTCCCCCCACCTGCTCCGCTGCCCCTTCCTCATTCCACCTGGTGGTGCCGGGCAGCCCGGAGCCCTCGTGGGCCGGGGCGTTTCGGGGCTGCCCCGGGGACAAAGGACGGCCAGTCGTCACCGGGACCAACAGCCGAAGAAGCCAGGAACGGCGCCCCCCGCGGAAGGAGCCAAAGAGCCGAACCGCGGCGCTGCCCCCTGAGTCGCTCCGGCTCTTTGCAGCCTCGCGGCGGGCGGGTTGTGGCGGGCCGCCGCCGAGGCGAGCAAGAAGGCATCGGCCGCCAACCTCGGCGCGGGAACGGCTGGCAGGGAGGCAGGCAGGCAGGCAAGCAGGCAGCGTCGGGCGCGGCGCCGCACTTCAACTCCCAGGATTCCCGGTAAGCGGGAGGGATCTACCATCAGGGCAAGGGGGGGGGGGATCGAGCCGGACCAGACGGAATGCCCGGCTCTTTCGCCGCCTTTGCTCCGCCTCCGTCCCACGAAAGCCGCCGGTCGGGCCGATTCCTCGGAGCCGCTTCCAGCGGGGTGGCGGGGTGCCCCCTCTTGGCTCCCCGGAGGGATGGAACCAGCCTGGCAGCGGGCGGGGCTTGGCTGCTCCGGGCGGGCCGAGCGAGCGCGTCGGGCTGCCCGGGAAGCCAAGCTGTCCGCGGTACGGTAGGCGCGGGGCGGCCGAGGGGCGGCGGGTCCGGACGGGACGAGCGGAAGCGGTGGGGGGCGCCTGGCACGTCCCGCGTGGCGTGGGCAGCCGCCCCCGAGTCGGCCGCTCCGTGGGCAGCGCGGCGTGATGCTGCCGGTGGGCGCTTTGCCTCCGGCTCTGCCTTCCTTCCCGGTCTGCGTCCCCGCCGGAGCTGGAGCACGGAGACCCCCCCCACCCCCGAGCAGCCGGGCAACAGCTGGAGGCGGAGCGGGCCGGGGAAAGCCGCTCGGAGCCCCGGGAGGGCAGCCGGGCTGAGAGACAAGGAGCCCTCCCCACCCCTCCCTCCGTTGAGGCCGTCGGAGGGACGGTCTCGCCGCGGCTTGCCCGGGCAGCTGCCTTGGCTCCGAGTCGCTTGGCGAGGGCGGGCACGCTCTGAAGCGGCCCGGGGAAGTCGGGCTGGCGGGCCCGGCCCGGCGTCTGCGAGGGAGGGAGCTCTGCCCGGCGTCGGATGCGGCCGGTTGGTGCTCTCGGCGGCGGGAGCCCAGTCCCTGGCGGAGCCGCTCGGCCGGGGTGCCCCTTTGAGAAGGCGGCTCCTCCCCGCCGCTTTCCCCCCAGGGCCTGCTTTGGGGAGGGGGCTGGGGTGGGTTGAACATTGGGAAAGCCTGCCCTTCATGGGAGAGGGGGCAGATTTCCAGTCTTCCACCTGGGCTTATACCATAATAAAGTATATAAGCTTTATAACCTGCTTGGCCTTTGCCCGGTGTGATCACAAGGAGCCTTTGGCGGATCATGTTCATTAACTTTCTCTTTGGTTTAGAAAAGTGCCTTTCTTTTGAGGGTGGTTGGTACCTGCAAAAGAAATTTCCAATGTGGAATTGGGCCTAGTTGGTTTCTGCAGTCTGGAGGCCCAGGCTATCCCTTAGTTTCTGCTGGCATGTGCTTGGCACAAGTCGCCCCTTCCGGTCGCTCCTTGGCATTCAGTCTTTCTTTGAACTTAAGTACATCCTTGGGATTAATTGCATTTTGGAGTGCTGATGAGTAAAAGGGAGGCTTCAGCTGCCTTCCCGATGAGCTGCCATTGCAGCCCTGGCATCTGCTTGTGCTGGCGATGGTGGGCATCACTTAGCCTTAGAGCCTTCCTCTGAGTGGCCCCCCTCCTCTGGGGCCAGAAGGGTCCGATCTTTGCCAAGAATGAAGGGAAACCCTGACTTCTGAGTTGGGACAGAGCCCCAATGCAGCCCTGGATGTTACACTAATCTAAGGATCCAGTGGCCACCCTGCCTTTCTCTGCTCTGCCTCACAGATGCCCAGTTCCTCTCCTCACACTCACCTCAGAAGGAGCCCCCCAGAATTCCTGCCCAAGTTTCCTTGATTTGCAGCCTCCCAGCCTTGCAAGGCCTGTGAGTGTCTTCTCGGGCCTGGCTGGCCCTCCTTGGCAGCACCCACATTCGAAGCTCAACCTCCTCACTTCCCAAACTGCTTCCGTGACCAAAGTGCTCAAGGGCAGGGTTTGAAAAACCGGTCCTGGCTAAGCCTCCAGCAGGACAAGTCCTCTACCTGATATCCTTTCCTATTGGCCCCCGCCACTGTAACCCAGGGTGGGCACAGAGCCCTGAGCAGCGCCTTTTTCTTCCTGTGCCCTTCACAGGTTCCTTGAAGCTCTTTCCCACTCAGGAGGATCTGAGGAAATGAAGCCCTCGGTTGCTTACCAGAAGGTAAAGTCTCTCAGCCGCACTAGGAGTGGGGTTGTGCTGTGTGGGGTTCTCTTGCCTGCGGGGTGATGACATCTGAGGCACCCCACTGTTAATCTGCAAGGGGGGGCAAAGACTTCAGCAAATAAGAGATCCATGCAGCCCCCCTCCCCAAGCAAATAGTGCTGAGGTGAGTGCAGAGCTGCTTTCTGTTTGCTTGATGAAAGCCAATGAATCTTCCCCTCAGAGGTTTCATGTGGGATTCTGGCTGGCCCATGGCCACGTCCGTGCTGGTAGCTTGGAGTGGGTCTGTTCCTGCCCCATGGGTTTTTCCTGAGGGTGGAAAACTTTTTTGTATTCCTTCCTCACAGCTCAAGACACTGGAGAGCCCTCAGGAGCTGCTGCCCTTGGCCGAGCAGCCCAGCCAGACTCTGCGCCAGGTGGGTCTTCCACCTGCGGTGGCATCTCTCTTGTTGTTTTCAAATGGGAGGCCCAAACCCAGAGGGGGGCAAGAAAGAGAGGCATTAAGCCCACCCAGTCCTGCTGTCAGGCCGCACCAGGAAATCAACTTCCCAGGAAGGAAGGCTAAAACTATTTTGCTTGAGACCAGCTAGGAGAACAAAATCTTGCCAGTCTGCTTGCGCTGGGCCCCCTTCCTTAGAAGGGTCTGAGCTCTTTCCACAAGTTATCTCTCGTTCTGGGCTTTAAAATGCTTCAGCCCCTTTTGGCTGGGGAAGATCAGTTCGCATCTCCATCTTCCTTGCTTTACCTGTTCCCTTCTCCACTGGATATTGGTCCTGAGCAAGGGCGCCAGCAACCTGTCTGGGCGGCCTGCAAGCCGGGTTTCCCTCTCCAGAGTTGAGGGGGCCTGAGCAGCAGTCAGGCTGCTTCCAGACATTGCTGGGTTGGTCAGCAGGCATTGAACAGCTCTGCTCGTCCCCAAGAGTCTCCAGTAATGAAAGCAAAGCAGCAAGAGCCCACCAGGCCACTGGCCCCCTCCCATGCACATGGGTATTTGTGGCTAATGTGGTACTGAGCTCCCCTCTTCCTTTGCAGTTCCATGGCTCTGCACTGGGGACGCCCTGTCACAGTGTCTCCAGGCTGCGTCCTGCAGAGCCACCCAGCCAATCTACGTCCATCCTGCCCTGGGATTTCCAGTGTATGCTGGTGACGGCCATTTTATCCACTGTGCTGGTGGTGGCCCTGGTGGTCCACTCCTTCTTCTTTCCCTTGCACGGTTTGGCCACGTTAGGGCATGTGGCATCAGTCCCACATGTGGATCACAGATACAGCGACTCGTGCAGGTATGAACTCTGCTTGTGATTTTCTTGGGCTCTAGCTTCAGGTAGTGGGATGTCATGTCATGGCCTGCTGTAAATGCTCCTTCTCCATCAGAAAATTTTGTGGTTTTGCTTTACTGCGAAGAAGAGTATTCAGTTCTGTTGGGCATTTGTCCACTTGCAAAAAGTATTGTGGAGAACAAAGATGCAGGTGGTCCTTCCAGGAAAAAGGGCCTGGTCACACAAGAAGCCGGGCAAGGGGCCTGGGAGGGAAATTGGGATTCTTCTAGAACTGCCTTGCCTCACCAACTTCCTCCTGGAGAAACACATGTGTATAGCAGTGCCTACACCCCCTGCTTGCATGCCAGAAGCCCACTAGCCCCATGGCTCCCCCCTCATGCAGTAGAGTAGGGCAATGCCCAGAGATAAGGCTAGGAGACTACTGCTGCTGGCTAATGGGTAAAATCCCTCAGACTGAATGCCTTCCTGGGACACCATAGAGGTTATGGGGCTTCCTGGCTCAATGAGTCTGCAGTGTGATGTGATATCCTTGTGAAACACATAAACACCCAATTGTTCCCTCAGGAGTGTGCTGGTGGAGAGCATCCCTGAGGGAGTGACATACGATGACAACAGCACATTCAGCCCTTCCACTTTTGAGACTTGGCAAAGCCTTCTGAAAAACGCAAGGAGCTCGGTGGACATCGCCTCTTTCTACTGGACTCTCAGCAACCAGGACACCCATACCCATGATCCTTCAGCCAGCCAGGTGAGGGGAGGAGCGCAGAAGTCCCAGACTCTCATCTCCAGGGAGGGTGAGAGTCACGTTTGGAGGAGGGATCAAGCCCAAGGGCAGGTCCTGCATCCCGTGGCTCAGCAAATGGTCCACAGACCCGGCCAAAGATGGGTCCTTAGCTTAATCCAGAGTTCATGAGAGCAAGACGACGACCAACGCACGGAAGCTTGACCGAGGGAGATCCAGACTTGGATTAAGAATTTCCTGACTATGAGAACTAGGACAGAGTGGGTTAGCCAGCTTCCTGGAGTCATGAAGGTTTTCAAGCAATGGTCTAGGACAGTCTAAGGTTCCTGCCCCGGGCAGCTGGCTGACTAGAAGACTCCAAAGGTCCCCTCCCAGCCTGTGATCTACAACTCCCTGGCGTTGGGCTTAGAATAGCCTCTTCTTAGCTGTAGGAAGCCAGGTCTGGCCTAAGACCGCTTTTTCCATCTGGGAATCCTCCTTTAAGTGGACACTGTGGCTATACTAATTTACAGTTCTCAGAATTTCCAAATGCACTTCACAGATCTGTAAAGTCCCAGCTCGGTGAAACCTCTCCCAGGCATTAGTCCCACTGGTTAGTTTTAACAACGGATCATTTTTTTCATCTGTCGGCCATCTTCAAACCTCAAGGCTTCTTAGGTGTGTGGCAGGCACTTGCTGCTAAGAAGGGAAGGGGTCTGGGGCTGACAGGGCCAAGAGGCAGATGCCGATTAGCACATGGGACTGTGGCCAAACCCACATGAAACAGGCAGTTAATTACACAGGCGTGGAGCCACGCGTGGCCTTGCAGTCCATCAAAGCTCCCTTTGAGGGCAGTGGAACATCCATTGGTTCAGACTTCGGCTACAGAGGGAGAGCAAAGAGCCTCTTTTTCTCATTTTGACAGCTGTCCAAGGACATGGAGAGAACTGCTGTGTGCGGCTCTCATGTGAGAAAGCAAGTTCAGCAGCAGCTAACAGTATAGCACACGATGAGCGTGTTAAGCCTGCTTTGCTCTACTGGCCCAGGCTTCATCCGAGGGGCCATCAGGGATTGAGCCAGGGCTGGTTGGGTAGCATTTGGGGCATCACGTGCCCCCTTGGTGAGGGGGCCTCACCAAGGGTGGGAAGGGTTTCCCTCCTGCTCACCCCATCCCCATCACTTCTCTGCTGCCACCTGGACCTTTTGCTCTCCCATCAGGGGGAGGAAATACTGACCGAGCTGCTGCATGCTACCAGTCGAGGGATTGCGTTGCGGATAGCAGTCAACCCGCCTTCTGCCCGGATGCCCAGTACCGACCTTCAGCTCCTCGAGGAGAGTGGTGAGTTTTTGCCATAGCAGGCTTAAGTCAGTTAATGGGGAGCTGTAGCTGCTGCTGCTGCTGCTGCTGGCTCTGTATCTGCCTGGCCCTTAATTAGGGCAGAGAAGATGCTGAACCTGTAGCCTAGACAAAGGAGCCCAGACCAACCATGGTCTTTGCTTCTAAACACACAGGGGCCCAGATCCGCCAAGTGGACTTACCCAGGCTGACCCGGGGAGTCCTGCACACCAAATTTTGGATTGTGGACCAGATACACATTTATCTTGGCAGTGCAAATATGGACTGGCGTGCCCTTACACAGGTATTGCCCTCTTGCTCAACCTGTCTGGCCTTCCCTCGCCCAAACCTTGAGGCTCCTGATGAGGGTTTTGGTGGAGCAGCTAGGTGTCTCCTGTAGGGTCAACTCTGCAGGCATTCTTCGTCCCTCTTCGGAGGCTTTCTAAAGGTTCCAGAAGGCAGGCTGCCTGGCACCATCAGGCAAAACCAATTTGCCCAGGTGTCCCAACAAAATTGTTGCTTTGTGACTTGGTATGCTGGCAGCCAAGATGGCCTCTTGGGGTTTTGAGTCATTCAGAAGCCCCCCCCCTTTTTTCTGGAGCATTACTGGGATATTGGGTGCACCTGTTGAATTATGTGCCTGCAGCTCCTTGTTTCCCATGTGGGGACAAGAGAGCAACCAGATGTGCTGGACCCATTCTCCTCTCTGATGCCAGGTGAAGGAGCTTGGGGCAGCTGTCTACAACTGCAGCTGTCTGGCCCAGGACTTAGGGAAGATGTTTGAGGCCTACTGGGCCCTTGGGCTGCCAAACACCACCATCCCATCACCCTGGCCAGCCAATTACTCCACCACCTACAACAAGGAGACGCCCCTGGATCTGGAACTGAATGGCACAGAGGCTGCAGTCTACTTTTCGGTGAGGACCTGTGTGTGGACAAGGTTAAGTGCTCTACTCCAAGCAGCTGCCAGGTTGCTCATGGGACCCTCTGATCACCCTCAGCGGGAGAAACATCTTCTCCAAGGTGCAAAAATGATCATTTTACTAAGAGGCTTCAGCAAGAATAGCCCTTCTGATGGATTTGGGTTAGATTCCCACCAGCCCTTCCCATGCCCAAGCAGAGACACAAAACACAGCTGGATTGCTATTGCCCAGAAAAAAAACACAGCACCCTCCTTTTGGCAAAATGAGAGGGCTTCTTTCCCCAGCCCTGGGCAGACCAGGCTCTCAGCCAGATTGGGCTCTTGGAGGGGGGCTGGGAGGTGCCAGCTCACCACCACTGAATGGGTCCGAATGCCTGCTGCCTTCCGGGCAGACTTTGCCTGCTTTGCTAGTGATAGTGATGTTGAGATGGATGCTCTTTTATGCTGCCCAGAGTGCCCCCCCAGCCTTGTGTGCCACCGGGCGAACAGACGATCTCCAGTCCCTGCTGAGCATCATTGAAGGGGCCCAGGAGTTTGTCTATGTGTCCGTGATGAGTTACTTGCCCACCATGGAGTTCTCCCACCCCAGGAGGTAAATCAGAGGAAAGTAGCAGTGGGGGAACATCATCCCAAGCTTTTGAGGAGGCGCTCTCCCTCACAGCAGCCCCACAGAGGCTAGGAGCGGGTGCTACTTGTTTCCAATGGGGACCGTTACATGCCTCTGGGCATCACTAGACTCTCCTCTTGGGAGCAGATAGGGAGCTGCCATGTAGGATACAGGCAGCATGCAAAACCAAGCCCCCTCCGGTCCACAGAGAAACCTCTCTCCACAGAACCTGGTACCCAAAAGGTTGGGGGCAACTAGACTAGAGGATCTCCCAAGGTCCCTTCCAACTCTGTTCTTCTGTTCTGACTCCAGCCCTGCTGTTCCCCCTCAGGTTCTGGCCAGCCATCGATGACCACTTCCGGAAAGTGGCCTATGAGAAGAGAGTCCGCCTCCGCCTCCTGGTTGGCTGCTGGAGACACTCCAAGCCAAACATGTTCCCCTTCCTGCGCTCATTGGCTGCCCTGCAGGACAACCGCACCCACTACAGCCTGGAAGTGGTAAGGGGCCCGATGGCGTCCTGCCTCCCAGGCCCAGGGAGACAGATGCCTCCTGTTCCCAAAATGAGGGGTCGGCCTGCCCTTTGCAGTCCCGCACAAACCTCTGTGGTAGTTGTTTTGTGGCTGAGCAAGTAGCCAGGCGTGGGGGGGGGAATCCCCCCACCAGCCCAACAAACCCTCTCCCTACCCCATCTCCAAGTGCCCCTCACTCGACTTGCCTCCCTTGCCTCCCCAGAGGCTCTTTGTGGTGCCCGCAAATGAGACGCAGGGCAAGATCCCCTATGCCAGAGTGAACCACAGCAAGTTTATGGTTACAGACAAGGTGGCTTACATCGGTAAGTCGGGACAGCTCAGGTCAGCGCACACTGGGAAGGCCCAGGGGAAGCAGGCAGGGGAAAGAGGAAGCGGGAGCAGCCTGGCAAGACTCCCCAGAGCTCCTGCCAGAAAAAGGAGCTTCTCTTTTTTTTTGGGTGGGGGGGAGAGTAGGTTGCAAAGAGGAAGGGCTTGCTGGTCCCACCTCGGAGTGCTGGGGTCTATATATGGAGGGGGAGGGGCTCTCGGCAGCAGATGGGGCAAGAGCAGAGGGGCCACCCAGACAGGAGTCATTTCCGGGCCCCGAGAATCCCTCCTCATCGCTCCTCCTCCCCGCAGGAACCTCCAACTGGTCCGGGGACTACTTCCTGCACACGGCAGGCTCTGCTCTGGTGGTGGCTCAGAACCCGGCCGGGGACCAAGCCACCCTCCGGGAGCAGCTGCAGCGCATCTTTGAGCGGGACTGGAACTCCAGATACAGCCGGGAGCTGGACCCCCAGGGCCAGGGGGAGGCTCTCTGCAGCGCCCGCTAGAGCCCTGCCTGGCGGCCCGGGGAGAGGAGCCTTCGGCCCCGGCCCCCACCCCCGATGGGCAGAGGGAGGGGGGGAGGGCGGGGTAGGGGGGGGGGCCCGGGCCGCCAGGCAGGGCTCTAGCGGGCGCTGCAGAGAGCCTCCCGCTTCCTCCCGCCTGCTGGATCCACTCCCCCCCCCACCCGCCGAGTCCAGGCACGGCTTTGGGCGATTAAAGGCTCGTTTTTCAGCCTCCCTCCCTGTCTGTCTGTCTGTCTGTCTGGGGCGTTGCTCTCTTTGCGGCGAAGGCGGCCCACCGCGGGGGGGTGGGGGGGAAGGGGAGGGTTCGGAGCGCCGAGCGGCCGCCGGAAGTGACGCCGTGCCGCCTTCCGGTGCGGCCTGTGGGCAGCGGGTGAGCGGGGACGGGCCCCGGCAGGTGATGAGCCCCGGGAGCCGTGCGGCGGCTTCACGCGGTGTCGCTCTCCGCAGGCATTCCGCCCGCCCCGCCTGGAGCAGCGCGATGGCGTCGGTGACGATGGGTGAGTGGGCGCGGGGGGGCCGCCCTGCCCCCTCCTCTCCCCCCTCCCCTACTTGGGGGGGTCGCTGTGGCCCTCCCTCGCTGGCCCCCCGCCCGGTTAACGCCGCTGTTGGTCCCGCAGCCACCTCGGAGTGGATCCAGTTCTTCAAGGAAGCCGGGATCCCCCCGGGCCCCGCGGTCAACTACGCCGTCACGTTCGTGGATAACAGGCGAGTGGCTCTTCCGCGGCCGCCGGGTCCCGGGGCCTCTTCCTGGCCCTGCCGGGATCGAAACTTTCAAGCAGTAAAGAATTAACGTAGACTAAAATAAAGTAAGAAAGAAATCAAGGGGAAAGGAAAAAGCTCAAGGAAAGGGAAAAAGGGGTAGCTTCCAGTGTTCTTCATGGCAATTAGAAGTACAAATATTTTAACTTTTCTCCTTAAAGTTACATCGATACTCTTTTTTTTCAATAATTCCTTCTATAATTTACCCTGTCTAGGTAAAGCTGTAAATCAAAAGTTCATCTTTATCCAGCCACACGCGCACACACACACACAACAAAAAAAGTTCATAAAAAGCTTCTGGTCACTAATAAATTTAGGCAATATCTTCTTTCTGATAAAATAAATCAGTTTATCCATTTTGGCAAGTTAACTTCTCCAGCCATTTCTCCATAATGGGAAATGTTGAATATTGAAATAATCATCTGTGACTTATCCATTTAGTCTTAAAGGAAGAGTTCTGGCTTCAATTGAATATTGATCTTTGTTTTTATTTTTCATATTACTTAACCCATCTTCCTCTTTAAAATTGTCTATATCAAAGTGTGTATTTTAGTTCATTTTTAAACATTTTTACATGTTTATCAAGCAAAGGGGTTTATCATGACAAAGGGGACTAATCAGCATACAGAAGAAGTCCAGAAGTGCTCAAAAAACAACTTACATCTAAATACTAGTAAAACAAAAGAGATGGTGCTAGATTTCCAAAAGCACAGAGAGCAACTTGCTCCACTGTATATTGAGGGGGACTGTGGAGAGGGTTTCCTCTTTTAAATTCTTGGGAATCCTTATTAGTCAAGATCTCACCTGGAAAAACAACACGTCCCCGGTGATTGGCAAGGCCCAACAGAGACTTCATTTCCTTAGAGTCCTGTGAAAAAATCAGGTGGAACAACAGCTGATGACCTCTTTCTATCGGTCCACGATAGAAAGTGCCCTCACATACTGAATTACAGTATGGTACGCTGGTTTAACTGCTGTGGACAGGAAGGCACTACAGAGAATGATCAATTCAGCACAAGAAACCATTGGTTACCCTCTAACACGACTGGATGACATTGCCAGGTCTCGCTGCTTTCGCAGAGTAACGAAGATACTCAGAGATGATTCACACCCTGGTCAGTGTCTCTTCACACTTCTACCATCGGGCAGGTATAGCCAGCCGAACAAATAGGTTTAAAAATAGTTTCTATCCTTGGGCTGTCACTCTTAAAACACAACCACAATCACTCCATGCACACGTGGAAACGTTTTCTCTCTTTTTCTTTTCCCCCCTAATTACTTGCATAAGGATTATTCTTTATATTATTTAAGTTGTATTTTTTGTCATGGATTGCACCAGTGGGGCTAAAACCAATTTCATTGTATACATGATGTACAATGACAATAAAGGCTATACTATATTATGACAAAATGTCCATGATGTTCACGCTTCCAAGACAGGCTTCAAGTGCCTTTATACCTTCTAGATGGAGCCATCTAGCACTTCATTTAAAGAATTTCTTAGGACCTTGTCAAAACAAGGAATTGTGGCTTATAGAGTTGACCATTGCTGTCTGCGTCCTTGCAGGATCCAGAAGAATATGCTGATGGACCTCAATAAGGAGATCATGAATGAGCTGGGTATCACGATAGTTGGCGATATTATTGCCATTCTGAAGCATGCTAAAGTGGTATATCGGCAGGTAAGTTCTGTGGAATTGTTGCTCATCCTTGCTTTACTTCATACATTGAGGCCTCGGACATTTATTGAGTCATGGTTTTCAGGATGAACTTTCTGGAGACCAATAAATGTAGGGCTTTTGGGGTGCATTTCTTCTGGTTTGGTGGCCATTTTGGTGTATTTGGGGAAGATGAGTCCAGTCTCCTGATCTGCTTATGATCACTTTATTATTGTGGGCATTTTCTCCTTCAGGATATGTGCAAAGCTGCAACAGAGTCAGTGGCCTCCAGCCAAACTGTTTTGCAATCTGAACTCCGCAGGAATGCTAATACTGGTGAGTACAGGTTGCCTGTGTTGCTGATCGCAGAGTCTCAGCGGAGTCCAGACCTCCACGGTGGCTGTTCTTTACAGTTGTGATCTCACCAATTTCTGCAGCTGCCACCAGGATGATTGCCAACAGTTTAAGCCGAGACTCTCCACCTTCTACTCCTGTTCGGAGGTCTGACACTAGTGCCTCCAAAATCTCCATCACCGTATCCAACAAAATGGCTGGAAAAAACACCAAAGCAGGTAATTTTAAAAATCTATGGCTGAATGTATTTCTCTGCTGGCAACTTCTGTTCTAAGTGGCATCGCTGTCCCTACAAAACTTTGCTGTTGTATGCAGCTGTTGCCTTTGTGGTGCTCAATCCTGTTTCTGAGGAGTGGGATAGGAGATGAATTCGGAATGCTGCATTTGAGGAGAAGCTTAGCTTTTCTTAGTCTCAGCCTTTCATTGGCAAGGTGAAGCTGCTGGTTGCTGGGGAGTTATTGGGCTAGGAATTGTGCAGCACCCTGTGTGGCATTAATCCTGTCTTCAGGGCACTTTAATGAGGGTGCCAGGAACTTTTAGGAATGTTCCATGCTGGTGGGGTCCAAGCCTGCTGGGCAGGGAAAGGGGAGAGGGTTTCATGTTCTCAATGCTACAAGCATCAGCTGTCCTTCATAAATCAGTGGTGGTTGGAGATACTTTTATTGTTTTTACCTGCTGCGAGAGTATAGAGAAGGAAATGCATAGGCTAAAAACACTTGCAACTTTTATGGAAGTCAACAAAAGTAAAATATTATTTTTGTATAACACATTAAGCATTATTCCCCATGCCGTAATTGGGCGTTCTCCCTTCATGGTTAGAGTATTAAGGTCTAGGCTTCTGTTGCTTCTACAAAGGTAGAATTGAGCTGCTCAGCTGGAGGACCTGGAGCCAAAAATGAACAGGCCACTCAAGAATCTGAGCAATTTCTCTTTTCACATCCCAATGGCTGTGCTTGCTTGGGCTCCTGAGCAGAAGCGGTGGAAAGCGTTTTGTGGCATTTGCAGGCAGTACAAGAGCATCCATTGAACTGCATTTGCTTGCTTATGTCTTCTTTGCTGTGGCAGCTGTTTGCGCTCCTCGGGCTGAGAATGCCACCATCCCAGTGAAGCGGCGCCGCGTCACAGCAGAGATGGAAGGGAAGTACATTGTCCACATGCCCAAAGGAACCACTCCCAGGACTAAGAAGATTCTGGAGCAGCAGCAGGCAGCAAAAGGTACTGTAGCTATCTTGGGGGTGGGGGTGGGGGGGTTGCTTCTTCAAAGGAAGGAGGTTGTGGGAAACTTGAAATGAAAGTGTGGGTAAGGCTATAAAAACAAAATTTTGATCAGGACAAACAGGCCATCAAGCAAAAGTGGCCAATTAAGAGCATTTGTTCAAACCAAATATCTTTTTATGTAATAATGGGAGTTTTTTTTGGTCACTGAGCTTTTTCTGGTCTTGTTCGCTATACTAGGCAGGGTTCCCTTGAGAGTATCTATTGCTCCTTGTCTCCCTTGAGAGACACGACATCTCCTTCAAACATTTTCTTGAAGGGAAGAGCCTCTTTTGAAGCAGCACGGAGGCAGGGGAATAAAAAATAAATCTGTAGCTCGATTGTTTTTTTGCGAAAAGCCTTTCCTTTTCTAGTCATTTCATAGTGCAGATGTTGTATGCATCCATGTTTGTGTTCTCTGTCAGGTTTGCAAAGAACTTCTGTGTTTGACCGGCTTGGTGCAGAGACCGGTGGAGAGATGGCCATAGGAAACAAGGTGAGGGTGCAGTTGTATCAACTGCAACTTCTTTGCAGTTGATGGCAGTTTCTCTACTTTCCTTTCTGGTGTTTTCCACTGACTCAGTGATCCCCAACGTATCGGGTGCTGACCCAGGTGCCCTGGGTGGGAGGTGGCAGTTCTGATCTGCTGGGCTCCCCGACCATGCCTGAATGGGGCCTGTCCTAGCATGCCCCTCCCTGAAGAATACAGCTATAGCAGGTTCCTTCAGGGAAGCAGACTCTTTGCCTGGGGGTCTTGTTTCTGACACAGCAGCACTGGACTTTTCTGGTTGGTTGGTTGGTTGGTTGGTTCTGCTTTTTGCAGTTCCTTTCTTTCTGAGATCTTGCTGTGAAGGAACAAGCTTTAAATGGTGGAAGGTTCTTGTCATGAACTATTTTTGGTTGGAGGTTGCAGCAGTCGCTCGTGTCAGGAAGACAACCATGCCATGTCAGCTGCCCCCTTACACTCACTATGGTATAAATTCATTTTAGGAGTAGAGGTCTGTAGAGATTCTCTACGTTTAGGAATAGAGCATATGCGTTTGGTGGCAAAAATTAAAAGTCTGGTAAAGTCTTCCATCTAACAGATTTTATTAAAAGATTGTTTTTGTGAGCTGCAGCTCACTTCAGATGCATGAGGGGCTACACTGAGATAAGATTTAAACAGGCGAGGTGGGAAGGGAAGATTGGTTATGTAGACACAGGTGAGACAGATCACAAGTACCTAGTGCAATAACATACTACTGTGTGTGTTGAGATCTTGAGATTGCCTGAATTTTTTTGATGTGACTTCATCAATCTCTTATCTGTGATAATGGTGATTGCGATCAAATCATTGTCACTCACTTAGATAGATTTTCTCCACAATTGTCTGTCCCTGTCCTGGAACTTCAGCTCTTCCCAGGGTGCCGCATTACTGTTGTCCCTCCACCTGGCTACTGGTCGTTGTCTTTTTCTCTTCCACCTTTCCCAGCATCAGATCATTTCCCAGAGAGCTGGGTCTCTTCAAAATAGCATACTTAAGAGTCTGGTCATTTATACTTCAGTGAATTATGGATTTGATTAGCCATCAATTTGTTTTCTTGCTGTCTGTGACATCCTCAGGAATCTTCTTCAGCATCAAAATTCAAAAGTGTCTCTGCCCTTTCTCTCTTGCTTCCTCAAAGTCCTGGTTTTTGCTTTCACAATGTGTCAGAGAATGCTGTACTGTGGCTTGCACAGTTCTAACCTTTAAAGCCATAGGCTGCATTCATGAGACCTTTTCCAAGCCTTCGTGTCTGCTGTGCTGAATGCTGTTCTGTAGCATAATTCCTGACCACTTGTTTCTTTCACGTTGGCTGATCCTAAAAGGCAGAAGCTTCCCACCACTTCAGTATCTTGATTGCCAATTCTAATTGCTTGATTGTGGTACTTGTGGACCCTCCTCTGGATCCCACATCTGCACCACCAAACGGTCTTCCTCTCCCCTTCTCTGCATGTGAACTAATGGCTTTAAACAGCCAGGCAAGGTGCTGCCAGATGCCTCCCAATTCTTTGCCTGAGTGCAAGGCCAGTGGTACCCTTGGCCTGCCGGATTGATGCTTGCTTCATCTCCAGAGCAGAGGTACACAGAATCATCCAGCCACTGAGCTCTGCTCTGTCTCTCCACAGCCCACAGGAGTGTTCAGCCGGCTGGGGGACGTGCAGGAGGACAAAGCGGCTGACAGCGATGATGACAGTTCTGTGCTGCAGTATGCAGGAGTGCTGAAAAGACCCTCCCAACCCAAGGAGATCTGCAAAGTTGGCGTCGCCATCAAGGCCAAAGCTACCAGCTCTGAGGCGAGGCAGATGGCGGCTGATGCCGTCACCACTGTAATCCAGCGACGGGGGAGCAACAGTGTGGCTGGACCTGCCACTCATGCCAAGGAAGAGATGCAGGGCTTGTCTCCTGCCCCGGGCAGTGTGGCCAAGAGACTGGGCAAGCGCTCGCTGAAACTCCTTGAGGCCCAGGACAGCAGTGTTACTAGTTCCAGGAGCAGGCCGGACTCTTCCTTCCGAGTCACCATAAAGAGAACTTTAGGGAGCTCCAAGGTAAGCAGCTCCAGCCCTGCAGAGCCCCCCAGCGCTCAGATGGACCACACGGGCACTGTCAGTGTCTTTAAGAGGCTGGGCAGGAAGACTGTGTGAGCCTGGCTTGGGACCCCGCTTGGAGGGAGCTTCCAGACGAGGAGGGCAAGCGAGTGTGTGTGTTCATCTCTCCCATCAGCTCCCTTTGTGATGTGAGCGGGTGGCCGCATTCCGCAGCTGATGCGGGTCTGCTTCTGTGAAGCTCTTGGTTGGCTCTCCCAGCACTGCATCCAAAGTTGCTTAGGGCCACGCATGGTTGAGGCACACAAAAGCCCAGTCCTGGCAGGGTGCGAGCGCTTAGGCAGCCTTGGAGAGAAAGCCAGGAGTTCTGGGCAGCCCTCTGAACACACCTTCTGTTTTTTCTCTGCAGGTGTTTGCTTTTTCCTAGGAAGTAGTGTCCATAAGAGAGACAGGCGGTCCCTTCCTTCTTTTCCCTTCTCTGTCCTGAGCTTTCATCTGCCGATCCTGGAACACCCACATTCCAGGAAGGGCAACTGACTGGGTGCCAGACATCTCTTTTAGTGGATGCTGGAGCTGTGCAATTGGCAAGGCGGGTCTGGTAGTGTTCTGGGTTTCTTTCCTTTCCTTTCCTTTCTGGTTGAGAAACGCCCTTCCTTGTCTTACATGTCAGGATCCCTGACTGATCTAGCTCCGTTTCTTTTGCTGTACTCCTGAATTAAGATGTTCTTAGATTGGGGGTGCGTGTGTGCCAATGGCTGTACCCGCATTCCCTCTTAGACCTTTTTTGAGCAAACAAAAGCAAACCCATTTTTTTAAAGCACACATATCCAATGTCTTGAGGCTCTTCTCTCACCTGCCATGCTGAAGGTGGCTGGCATCTCTGGATCAGTGAGTATTTCTCCACCCAGCCCCCCCTCTTGTGGCTTCGGCTGTCCATCAGTCGGGGGAATGCTGGATTACAGCAGGCACACACCCTTCTGCTCCACCCCCCCAGCTGGTAGGATTTGAGGTAGGGCAAGCACAGCTATGGCCTTGGCCTTAGGAAATGGATGGGCATCGCAAGTTTAAGGAGAGGTAGATCTGCCAGCAAAAGGAAGGCGCCTGGCACTGATGGGCCCCTACTGTTTACCACCAGAAAAAGCCCCAGTTCTCGCTTTTACAATCTCCTTTTCAGAAGACCTGTGAAGTCATCTGCCTCCACCCCCGCTTTGGCAAGATCTCCCGGGGGTGGGGGGGATCTGGGGCACGCACGGTCTTCCGTCTCCTGCTTGGTGTGTGTGTGTGTGGGGGGGGAGATTTCTGGATCCCCGCGCACATCCCCCAGAGCCACCGGGGCGGAAGGGGGGTGCTAAGGGGGAGCAGCGCTGCCTTCCTCCTCCTCCCTCGGTGACCCGCCTCCCTGCCCCCAGGCTGCCAGTTCAGACCGCCTACGGGCACGTGGGCTTAGCGAGAGGCGCCTATCGGGGCTTCGCTGCTGGAAAGCGGGTTTATCAATTGGAGTCGCTGTACATCGGGATGATGGAAGCTTCAAGCTGTACCGCGGCCGCGCAGCCGTCGAGCCGGGCCGGCGAACGACCGCTCACAATAAACGGTGTTTCCGCTCGGCTGGTGTGGCTCGACTCTTCTTTGCCGGGCGCCGCGGCAGAAGCGCCTGTCTCGCCTTTGCGCATGTGCGAGGGGACGTGTTTGCGCAGGCGCCGGGACTCGGTAACGCGCCTGCGCAGAACGGCGAAGGCTGGCTGGCGGCAGGGTTGTTGTCGTTCCTTCTCGCGTCCCTGCCGCCCTTCCTGCGTGCGGGCCGGGAGGAGGCGGGGTTTCCGGGCGCGGGCGCCGTCGGACCTGACGCGACGGCAGCCCTGAGGATGGCCCTGCGGGGACGCCGGTAGCGGCGGCAGGTGAGGGGGGGGCGGAGGCGACGCCCGCGGGCCCCGCCGCCTGGCCGAGAGCGCCGGCGCCGGGCGGCCGCGCGCGGGGCATTGTGGGAGGGAGGCCGAACCGTCGGTCGCGCGGCGGAGGAGGGGAGGGCGGCGCGCGCCCCCGCGGCTCGTGCTCGGTCCGGGCCCGGAAGGCGCTCCGCCTGTCTCCCGCCCGGCCGCTGAGCCCCGCTCCCTTCCCGCAGGAGGGCCAGCCTTGCTGCTCGTCCCGAGCGCTGCCCGGGAGGCTGGCAAAGACGGATCCGAGGCGGCCCGCGCAGCCCTCCGCTGGCCGGGCTGGCCCTTGGCTTGGGCCGTGGCGGCTCCCGGGGAGACCTGGGGCTCTCGGGCTGACCAACCCTGGGTGGGGAATTGGTGCGGGGAACCGGGGGAGGCCCAGTGGGCTGGCACATCTTCTCTCCCCCCTCACCCCCCGGGCTTCCCGGGCTCCACCCACCGCAGCCCCACGGGGCTGAAGGATGGTCGCTCCAGAGGGGGTTAGCTCCCGCACCCCGGGGGGCTCCAGGAGAAAGTCTGGGTTCTGGCAAATAACACGTTCATTTTAAATAGGCCAAACAGTGCAAATTCTTTAACAAATGTCTTGCACTAGGAGGGCTCCCGGTCACAAAGGCTGGCGAGCTGGTGCTTGTTTAAAGGTGGGCAGAAACTCAGGCCTCGAACTTCCCCTCCTTGCTGCCCAAAGCAGCGTGGGATTCAGGCCTGGCCTGGCCGCTTTGGAAGTCAGGGGAGACCCATGAGCGGAGTGGGGCCGGTGGGGGGCAGCCAGTGCAAAGGAAGAGACGGCCAGCTGAGAGGCGGCAGTTGCCTTGCCCGCCCAGGGGCTTTGCTGGTTCTAAGCAGAGCTTCCGCATCGCTGTCACTGCGGAGGAGCGTGCAGAACCTTCACACCCGAGTCTTTCCCCAGGCCTCCCTTTTGTGCATCCCACAGATGTTTCCGTATCCGCCCTTCTACCTTGCCAGAAGGTAAGGCGATGCTGCTCCCTCCTGGGGATTCCTGACAGCCTAAATGTCAATCAGGGGGCATGACAGCAGTAGTCTAGCCCTGCCCACCATACGCACACACATCCCATCTCTGATCTCCTGCTGGGAGAGTTGGCAGGTGCCATTTCCAGGAGAGTCACTTTTGCAACATTGCGTTGACTCAAAGCCCTTCCATCTCAGGGCAGCAGGACATGGCCTTGAAAAGTGGATGTTTAAGCTGCCCTGGCTACATTTGGGGCCGTGGCCACTTCTAATGCATTTTGGCTTCTTGAGGCACTGAGTTACACAGATGGTGCATTTTATTCCTTAGCCGTTCATTTCTAGGGTGGCGGAAGGCATTTCCCCGCCATCCTGTGTCCCTCCTGCCATATGTGATCAGAGCCTGTCGACCAGAGTCCTTTCAGTTTTCCCAACTTGCTTACAACCAGAGGTGGCGTGTAAAAGCGTAACACTTGATGTAACGCTGAGCCGCTGCGTCAGTCCGGTCCCTGCCTTCTGCCATTTGAAAGGCCTTTTGCCTCCTGGGCAGATTCCAGCCGGCTGCCCTACCTTGCCTGCGTGCTTTGAGGAAACAAGGCAACGTGGCTTCTTTGGCTGGAGAGGCCAGTTTAGCTTTCTGCTCTTTTTCTGGCTATCAGCAGAAGCAGAGCCAATGGGAGGGGAGCCTCCGGTCCTTTTGCCCAAGCCTGGGCTGAGCCTTCTGATCCATTCCTTTCCAGTCTTCCATAATGGACTCTCCAAAGCTCTATTGCAACCCCCTCGCTGTCCCTGCCACTCTCAGCCTCTGTAGCAACAGCACACTGCGCGACGTCCTTCTGGAGAGTCTTCCAACTGGGGCAAGGAGATAAGCAGCCACAGCCATCGGGAAAGGGCACAGGAGGCAGATGACAGAAACTGGTTGTTTCACTCCATCGTGCCCTACTCAGATGATAACAGCACTTAGACTTCTATACTGCTTCACAGTGCTTTACAGCATCTGGCCCCCAGCAATCTGGGTCCTCCTAATACAGACTGGCCAGTTTGGGGCACCCCTATTTAAAAAGCATAATAGCAAACCCCAGGCTGTCAAGACAGGAGGCTGGAAAGAAGTATCTAGACTTAGTGTGTTTAATGTGCAAAAAAGGGGGCTGTGGTACTTTTCCAGCCTCTGGAGGTGATAACCCAGGAGGAATGGTGTTGCTGTTTGCTGCCCTAGAAGGAAGGAGGGACCAGCACCAAGGAAGGAGGGTCAGGCTAGACCAGGGGTCAGCAACCTGTGGCTCTGGAGCCGCATGTGGTTCTTTCACCCCTGCTGCGGCTCCCTGTCACTCAAATTATGCGTCACAACCACCAATGTGCAACACCCACCGGCACACAATTTATTGAGTTTTCAACCCCCGGTAGGCCAACCATGGATAAATCCAAGAAAAGTAAAGTTTCAGAAAAAAACAGAACGTTTAATTCAACTACATGTGCTAGTTTTGGGGCCGCTCAAGAAACAGCCAGGCACGGGAAGGGTTTTGTGGCTCCCGGTGTTTTCTGTGGGAAATGGGTCCAAATAGCTCTTTGAGTGTTTAAGGTTGCAGACCTATGGGCTAGACATTGAGAAGGATTTCCCGACTGCACAGTGCAAGCTGTTGGCCAGTTGAGCAGGCTGCCAGTGAACGGGTGGTGGGTTCCCCCTTTGCTGGGGGTCTTTGCACGGAGGCCGGGTACCATCCCATTGAAGCGCTGTGTCTGTAGGCTGTTCCATAAGACGGCTCCAATGGCTCCTCTGGTTTGTGACATGGGGCTCTTAGGCTCCAGAACTGGCTTCCTTTGCCTGCTGGAGAAGCTGCAGCTCTGCCACCTCTTCTTCATCACCTGGCATCTTTATTGGTGGTGCTGCCTCTCTGAACCTCTTTGCCCTTGGGAGACATTTTCTCTATGTTGTTCCTCTGCCCACAGAAGCTTTCTGCCTATCCATGTCAGACTCGCTCTGGGAGCCCAGCGGAATAAGAACTGCCTTATGGAGATGGATCCAAGCTTAGCCAACCCTTCGTAGGCAGCCATGTGCGAAGCGTGCAAGTAACAAGCCGCTTCTGGAAGGTCCCCGGTGTTGACCGTGGCAAGTCTGTGGCATCCTGCTTGGTTATCCTGGCCTCTCTTGCTGGCCACGGTCGCGTGGGGTGTGGCTGCGTGGCCTTGGCTCTGACTGGGAGGTCAAGGGGAGCTAGTGGAAGCCCTGTGGCCTTCAATCGGTCATGGATCTTAGCCACCGGCCAGTGCAGACGAGGGATCGGGGGGTGGGGGAGAGCCAGGCTGATGTCGATTGTGGCTTCATCAAGAATTTCAAAGTGTTCAGAAGCCGAGTTTGCTCTGCAGTGCTGAGTGGGTAGCAGGGCTTCAGGTTGGCCACCCTGAATGTTCTCAGGACGGCAGCCATTCCCTTCTCCCCTGCAGGTCGCCAGGCCACCTCTGGCCCCCCTGGCAGGCAACAGCCCCTCTCTGTGCCCCGTGGTGGCAGCAACATGAGTGAGGTGTCGGTGATTAAGGAGGGATGGCTGCACAAGCGAGGTGAGCAGTGCCCCGCCTGCCCTGTCGGAGGCCCTGAGCTGGCAGCGGGGCTTCTCCCCCAATGGAGGCATCTCCCCTGGGCTGCAGGCCGCTCCTGAGAGTTGGGATGCTCGTTGCTTTGGCTGCAGCTGGTGAAGGCCCTGAGCAGCCTTTGTTTTTGTTTTTTAAATTTGATTTATATGCCGCCCTTCTCCGGAGACTCAGGGCGGCTTACAATGCGTTAAGCAATAGCCTTCATCCTTTTGTATATTTATACAAAGTCAACTTATTGCCCCCACAAACTGGGTCCTCAATTTACCTGCCTTAGAAAGGATGGAAGGCTGAGTCAACCTTGAGCCTGGTGAGATTCGAACTTATAGTAATTGCAGACAGCTGGTGTTAATCACAATGCTTTCAGTCTGCTGAGCCACCAGCCTTCCCAGAGAGGGGCTACTGGGCTGCATTTCTTCCAGCCCAGGGAAGACCCAGCGGTTGCATCCTTTGCCACAGTTGTGGCTCTGTAGTCTGTGCTCTTAAGGGGCTTGTCTCAATCATCTAGGACTCGATGGTTGTAGAGCAACCCAAAACAAATCATTGGAGGCGGCTTGGCATGAGCTGTTTGTCACCAGGCAGGTCTCCTTCCCCTCCCCTCCCCTCCCCCTCCCCTGAGCTGCTGCTCCTCGTCCAGTCCTTGTTTCCGGCAGACAAATATAGACCGCAGCTGGGGGCTATTTTGGTCCTGCCGTGGCCTGGAGGGGTGGCAGACTCAGCTGTGGCAAGCCTCAGTCCGCTTTTGCCAAGGGGGCTTGGACAGGAGAGCAGCCCCCCCCCAAAAAAGAGCTCTCGCCTGGGCTGAGATGCCCTGGCCAGAATCCAGGAGGGTTCCTGCCCTGGAGCAGCAGGAGGCCTCCCCTATCCCCCCCTCCCCACCCACAGAAGCTCTTTCTCCAGCCAATGGAAGAGAAGCCTCAGCTGGTCTGACAAGGTGACATATGAGGATCTGTTCCTCTTCCAACATTTAGGCCAGATGGGGGCTTTTAGGGGTGTTGGGCCAAATGTGGAGGTTGATGGGGTCACACCCAGGGGTGAAATGCTCCCGGTTCGGACCGGATAGCCCTATCCGGTAGCGATGGGTGGTTCAGAGAACCGGTAGCAAAAATCCCTGTGCGCCCCCCACCCCACCATGCCCAGCTGAGCCGCACGATCATCAGAGGCTTTTTTTTCCCTTTTAAAAGCATTTTTTCTACAACCTTTTCCGACAAAAAAATGCTTTTAAAAAGTGAAAAAAAAAACCTCTGATGATTGTGCGGCTCAGCTGGGATCGTCAGAGGCTTTTCAAAGCATTTTTTTCTGCAATCTCTTGGCCAAAGAGGTGGTTAAAAAAATGCTTTGAAAAGTCTCTAATGATCCCAGCTGAGTTGCCTGATTGGCAGAGGCTTTTCAAAGCATTAGAAAAAATGCTTTGAAAAGTTAAAAAAAAAAAGTTGGCCATGCCCACCCAGTCACTTTACCCCCACCACTACCAAGCCACGCCCATAGAACCAGTAGTAACAAATTTTACATTTCACCCCTGGTCACACCTCTATGCCTGCCTACCCTGTTCAATCACTGGGGGGCAGAACAAAAGCTGCCTGCTCCCTGGGTAACCCCAGAATGCCTTTCCAGGGGAATACATCAAAACTTGGAGGCCCCGATACTTCCTCCTCAAAAGCGACGGCTCTTTCATCGGCTACAAGGAGAAGCCAGAAGCTGCTGACCACAGTGCACCCCCTTTGAACAACTTCTCTGTGGCAGGTGTGTTGCCCAGGTTAGCTTGGAAAAGGTGGGCGGGCTGTTCTCCAGACCTCCAGGGATGGTGACAGAGGATTTTCCCTCACCTTGCCAAGTGACTTGGGTGTGTGAGCGACGGGTACTCTGGCATTGCCCTCTTCCTCTTCGCCTCTCTGCATTGGGGGAAGCTGCCCTGTCTGAGCCTGTGTAGATCTTGGTCAGTGGACCTGGGCCAGGCCAGAGCCATCTTGAAAGGGCAGGGGCTGAGAGGGCCTCCAGGAAGGCTCCCTGGGGAGACTCCAACCTGGGGGCCCTTTCCTCCTCCTCCTCCTGTCTCCCCAGAATGCCAGCTGATGAAAGCCGAGCGACCGCGCCCCAACACATTCATCATCCGCTGCCTGCAGTGGACGACGGTCATTGAGCGGACGTTCCACGTGGACTCTCCAGAGGAAAGGTGAGTGGACAGCCCCGAGGCCTCATTTCGACCGCCACTAGCAGCTGCCCAGCTTCCCTGACCGTGGCGGCTCCCTTACCCAGCAGTGGCACCTCCTGCCTGGGGCTGCCACCTCGGTTTGTCTTGGCTGCCCTGCCTTGGCAGACTTCTTAAGGCTTCTTGGCGCCCTGAGTGCCGGTTTGCGTCTTCCCAGGGAAGAATGGATCCAGGCCATTCAGATGGTGGCCAACAGCTTAAAGAACCAGGAGGCGGAAGAGGACAGGATGGACTACAAGTGTGGCTCCCCCAGCGACAGTCCAGGGGCCGAGGAAATGGAAGTGGCGGTGACCAAGGCCAGAACCAAGGCGGTAAGCGAGACGGGTCTGCGGGAAGGAGACGGACGCTGATCTTGGCTAGTTGAGGGGTGCTGTCAAATTACGGCCAGGGATTTTACCTGAGAGGTTTTGGTCAGGCAGGCAAGGAGCTCTTCTCTCTCTCTCTCTCTCTCTCTCTCTCTCTCTGCCTTCCGTTGCCAGACCATGAGTGACTTCGACTACCTGAAACTCCTGGGAAAGGGCACTTTTGGGAAGGTCATCCTCGTACGGGAAAAGGCCACAGGGCGCTACTACGCCATGAAGATTCTGCGCAAAAAGGTCATCATTGCCAAGGTGGGCGGAAGCTCCGGCCCCTCGGGGGGGGGGAAGAGTGGACAGGCTTGGCCAGGCCAGCAACAGGCTGCCTTGGGGGACCAGCCAGAGGGTTGCTGCCCAAGAGCAGGCCAGGGAGGGGGCCCATCCAAGGCTTAGCAGCCAGAGGAAGACATTTAGGGAGGCCCCACCCTGACCGATCCAAGCCAACTCAAGATCTGCAGGATTCTCCTAGGGTAGGATTCGCCGGCCTCTCCTTCAGAGGACTGACCCATGGTCCTTCCTCAGAAAATCTGGTGGTGGGGAAGCTCTTTAGAATCAGGGGTTTTCTGCACCTGGAGAGAGAAAGAAACGAGCTCTCAGACAGTTTGATTCTGGGAAGCTCCTTTCCTCTGCCACCCAAGAGAAGAATGGATCTGACCACACACAGAGAAGTTAGCCATTTGGCCAAGGATCGCTGCCTGTTTCAGCCATGGGGGGGGGGAGGCATGTCTTTACTCCCACCAGCTGTTCCTCTTCACCGGCCCTGGGAAGGGTTGCCATTCCTGCTGTTTTCCTGGAGCCTGGAGAGACAGGCTGGGAGGGTTAATGGTGAAGGGCAGGTGCTTGCCAGGTGTGCTGGGTGAAGACCCTCTTCTCTCTTCCAAGGATGAAGTGGCCCACACCGTCACGGAGAGCCGAGTGCTGCAGAACACGAGGCACCCCTTTCTCACGGTACATGCCAAGGGTTGATCCAGGAGGGCTTTGGAATACTTCCCTGCTAGCCAGAAGTAGGTTTTTCTTCTGGGCTGAGGAGTGGGGGGGCGCCCAGAGCCAGTAAAAGCCTGGGGGTCCTGCCCCAATCTGGGGGCCCAGATTGAGGCCGGCTCAATTCCACATCGAGGCTTCAGGTGAAAGAGCCTCTGAAATACCCTCCTCCTCCTCCTCCTCGTCTCTCTCCCTCTCCCCTCTCTTCCCAACACAAGGCAGAAGAGTAGAGTTGTGTGCCAAGCCTGGGGTTGATTTTACTCAGAGCACAGGGCCATGGTGGGCAGGGAGCGGCTTCTCTGGAGGTGCCGTTTGTGAGGGAAATCTCTGTCCCTCTTTCTAGGCCCTGAAATATGCGTTCCAGACCAATGACCGCCTCTGCTTCGTCATGGAATACGCCAACGGAGGGGAGGTGGGTGTCCGCCAGGAGTCCCTTCCTTGGAGGTGTTGCTATTCGCTCACTGGAAGCAGGAGCGGCCTTTGGGTCCTTCCCCCTGACCTGGCCGCTTCCCTTCCAGCTGTTCTTCCACCTCTCGCGAGAACGCGTCTTCACGGAGGAGCGTGCCCGTTTCTACGGGGCTGAGATTGTTTCTGCCCTGGAGTATCTCCACTCGCGGGACGTCGTCTACCGAGACATCAAGGTGGAGATGAGGGTCGAAAGGGGTGGCCCCCGGGTCAGCTTTGCAGGGGGTGGGGAGGCTCCCCTCGGCTAGGGCCCAACCGCCTTTGTGCCTTTTAGTTGGAGAACCTCATGCTGGATAAAGACGGACACATCAAAATCACAGACTTTGGGCTGTGCAAGGAAGGCATCTCCGATGGTGCTACCATGAAGACCTTCTGTGGGACACCGGAGTACCTGGCCCCAGAGGTATGGGAGGAAGGGCGGGTCCTTGGCCGCAGGGGGCCAAGGCTGGCAGGTGGAATGGCTTTCAGCCCCCGCTGCCAAACGCTGCGTGTCTCATCCTTCTCCTGCCCTTTGCCCCGCAGGTGCTGGAGGACAACGATTACGGGCGGGCCGTGGACTGGTGGGGCCTGGGTGTAGTCATGTACGAGATGATGTGCGGCCGGCTGCCCTTCTACAGCCAGGACCATGAGCGCCTCTTTGAGCTGATCCTCCTGGAGGAGATCCGCTTCCCACGCACCCTCAGCCCTGAAGCCAAGGCCCTGCTGGCCGGCCTGCTCAAGAAAGACCCCAAGCAGAGGTGAGGGAGTTCCCAACTGCCCCTCCCAGCGCCAGCCTGGCCTTGGGCCTTCGCTTGGGAAGCAGAGGGGCCGAGCTGTCAGGGTCAGGGGTCCTTGGGCTGGGTTCCTGGATGTGCCAGAGAGCGTGTGTGTGTGTGTGTCCCTTGATCAGATTCAAAGGCCAGGCCATGGTTGGCATGAATCCAGCGTTTGGAATAAATTACAGTTGACATCTTTGTTTTAGAGATTGAAATAAACGCTTAGTGCATAGTTTGCACAAATGCACGTATAACGCGAGTGCCCTCCTCTGGGCAGAATATACAGTGAGGAGGTGCTGGGGTGCAGCCGTGGGGGGGGAAGAGCTGCCAGCCCCATCCTGAGGAATTCCCCCTCCTTGTCTTCCCGAAAGGACTTGGTTCTCCCTCAAACAGGCATTTGCCCTCCCCCTGAATCTGTGGGCACACTCACGCACACAGAAAGCTGTTAACCAAGCCTTTTCTTGCCAGACTGGGGGGCGGCCCCAATGATGCTAAGGAGGTAATGGAGCATCGGTTCTTTGCTGCTGTTAACTGGCAAGATGTGGTTCAGAAGAAGGTAGGCCCTACGGTGCAGCTGCTGCTGCCCTTCTCCCCTCTGGGGCTCCTGGATGGGGAGGCGGGGAGGGGGAGTTGCAACCCATGGGGCGAACTAAGCAGGCTCTCTCCCTCCAGCTCATGCCCCCTTTCAAGCCCCAAGTGACGTCCGAAATAGATACGCGGTACTTTGATGACGAGTTCACAGCCCAGTCCATCACCATTACGCCACCAGACCGATGTGAGTAGGGGGCTTTACATTGGGAGGCAGGTGTGGGGGGAGCTCATCTAGTTCTTTGGTTCTGGCTTCACTGGGAATTCCCCGGCCGGGATGTTCTTGTCCACAGACGACTGCGTGGATCCCCTGGATGCCGACCAGCGGACCCACTTCCCTCAGTTCTCCTACTCCGCCAGCATTCGGGAGTAGGGCTGCAGCGCCACCCGGAGAGTGCCAGGACTTGGGGTGGGGGGAGACCACCCCATCTGGCTGATCCCACCTTCCCACTTCTGGGAGCCAAGCGGACGAGCCTGGACCTGCCACGTCGGCCTTTGCCATCAGGACCAGCTGGCTCACTTGTGCCCATGTGACCCTGCCCCCCCACACACACACACGCACACACACCAGCCTCTCTCCCTTGCCTCTGGGACACTGCTGAGTTTTACATGGAAATTGCTTTGGCGTGTTTGGTTGGCTTCTGAGGGCTGCACTCTGCCACCAAATCGTGTCGGTGGAAGGCAGGGTGACCGATCGCTGCCTCTGGGGCCACCCTGAACCCCAGAGTGTGGAGGACCCTAACACTGGCTTGCAAGGCTGTGCTAAGAAGGGCAGAGCCCCGAAATCCCACCACCCCGTTTCTGTGGGATAGTGGCCGGCTGGCCGGCCAGCACTCAGGTGCTCTTGGGGTCAGTAACCTGGCAACTGTTACCTTGTTGACCTTTGGTGGGCTTCCCCATCACCTCCAGGGGCGCTGCTGCTGTTAACAGGAACTTTTGAGTTGCCCTCCAAATAACGGGGAACTGGCCCCCACTTAGAACAGTGGCCTTTTCTAACGAAAACCAGGGTGCTGGGCATGGCAGCTGCACCCTCTTGCCCCCGGACAGTCCGCAGCTGCTCTTTGCAAGGCCCAGCAGTGGCCCTCGCTGGAGCGATTGGGCCCAGCTGCCCCTGCCAATTAGTTCCTATGAAGGGGGATGCCCTTGTGGAGCGGAGTGGGGTGGGGGGCTGGCAGTGTTTCCCTCCCAATTTTCAGCTGTGGAAGATAGCTGCCTTCCTTTCCCATTTCTGGCCTTGGAGGGATGGCAGCCCCCTGGCAGGCCTCCTCCCTTCTTCCCACGGCTGCAGGGCCCTGCCATGGGAGGAAGGGAGGTTTGCTAGCCGGCTGCCTTTCATCTTGTCCCCTATGTGGCTTGACCAGGGAAGGAGCAGGCCAGGCCAAGCAGATTGGAGCAGCTCGGACTCTGCCACCGCTCAGCTGAGTTGCTGCAAAGGGCCCAGAAGCCACCCAGGCAGAACACCCCCCCCCTTGCTAAAGAGGAGGTTGTGGTCCTCTGGAAAGCATGGCTGGAAGGCGGATGGACCTTCCTGCAGCTGTCTAACAATCCGCAGCCCCCCACCCACCCCCAGTGCAAAGAGTGGGAGGCCTTCAGGGAAAGAGGCTGCTCCAGCTGTGTAGCTGGCAGGCCAGAGCAGTCCCTCCTGCCCACCTATGTCGCCTTTCGGGCAGGTACCGGAGGATGCCACCTGGTGGGCCAGAGGATAGCAAACCCCTGAGCTCACCTTTGCTCTGACTCTCCTATTGACCTTAGCAGACCTGGGGTTCCTGTGCCTCCTGGGTTTTGGGGACCTGCCTGTGCCAGGGACTTCTGCCAATTCCACAATTGCTTTGGGCTCCACTGCGAGTCTTTCTACAAAACTGGGAGGCAGGGGGGGGGGCACGGCATGAACCTGGCTGCAAACATCCATGGCAGCCCTGTCTGGCTTTCCGTGTCTCAACTCCTACAGGCAGCCAGTGGCAGTTGCACGATTCCATTATGCGGAGCCTTCAAGCAGGCCCTTCTGATCTGATGTCCTGAGGGGCCCTGTGGCAAATTGGAGGGAGAGGACAGAGGCTCCCCCAGTGAATGCAACCTCCAAGACTCCCAGTTGGCTGCCCTCGTGCTGCCTGTTTGCCTTGCAGGGTGGCTCCCATTGGGCACTCCTGGCCAGAGCCTTCTGAGAGCGGGGTGGGTGGGTGGGTGAGCCCTGGCTGCTCCAGACCACCACGTGGCCTTTTCAGCATACCCGAAGTGCCGGCAGCCCCCGAGCCTCCTTGAGCCTTTTGGGTCTGCCCAGAGTTCAGCTTCCTGGGGAGGAACTCTTGTGCCCTGCTGGACTTGCAGGGCTGGGTAGGATCTCGGTGAAGATTGGGGTGACTGGGGAAAGAATAGTTTTTCTTGTTTGCTGTAGTTCTAATTCAGATTTACTAATTTAATGTTGCCCCTGTTAGATTAGAGTGAAGCGCCCGCTCTGTTGCGGTACGTTTTCTCCCCGTTCTCTTCCCTACTGCTGGAAATCAGCAGCACTTCTGGCCCTTCACAGACAGGGCTGGCTCGAGATCCTGAGTTCCGTTTGTACAATAAAGTTTGCTGGAGTGTTTTTGTAAATGTGGCTGATAAGCACAAAAACTGGAAAGGCTTTTTTTTTCCTTTTTGGTAAACCACAGAATTGCCTTCCTCCACCCTCAGATTTGTACGGTACAAGCAATAAAAGATTTTATTTCTTGGTTATGCGGTCTTTTTAAAATTTATTTAATATTATAATACTTTACAATTTTAAAGCAACACCCAAGCTCTTGTTCATTATAGTTATCTACAAATTCAATCCTAGGTAACCGTGGTCTTTTGAGGAAGGCCACTAACCTCTTTTTCACAAAGATGAACAATTTATCCAGGGAATTTCAGCAAAACCTACCTGTCCCTGTCTTCCTCGCCTTCTTTAAATCTTTGCAATTTAAGCCCCCTCCTTTAAATGGTGGGCTATTTCCTTCAGTGCTGCTCAATAGCCACCTAGCTGCCAAGGGAGAGGCACTAAAGTAAGCCACCCCCAGAGTTGCCCCAGGCCCACCATCGTCCCTCCAACCTTTAAGCATCAGGCAATGACCCCCCACCTGCCCCCCTTTCAGGAATTGGTGGCATGCCAGGAATTGGCTTCCAGGAAATGTGTTCTCGGTGTAACTTCCCCTTCCACTCCGCCATCCGTTTTGAAAAGCGACCTAAAATTACAGCCTGCAATATTATATTCTATCTTACCTTGGAACATCCAAACGTCCCTCCTGCTCCACTCGCTGGTGGCTTGTTCTGCTAATGAGCCCTAATTCAGCCAAGCTGGGAATCCTCTGGTGCTCTGAGCTCCCTCCCACCTTGTGGGTGTTCGGGCAAAGGTCATGGCGGGCCCCGAGAGGAGGCCCTGGACGCTGCTGCTGCTGCAAAGAGCCGTACTCTCGGTAGGGGCCTTGTTTGTGGGGCAGACTGTAAGCCGAGTAAGTGCCCTAGGCAGCCTGGGCTGTTGGGGGTCGGGCGGCAGAGGGCGATAATTGAAGAAACACTATTCTTGTCCTCTCACTAGGGGAGGATCTGTGGCCATTATTTTTCACCAAAGATGCCACTACCAGTTCTGGCAATCTGGAGGAGGAATTCTTTGGCATCCCTTACAAACAGACCTCAGTAGCTCCTCTGTCTGAGCTGCAAAGTTACCCCCTGCTCCTCTGGGTTCCTCAAACTGGGGGAGAAGGAGGAGCAGAGGCAGCCCCTCAATCACTTGGGAGCAAGGACTCACATCCCACCAACTCGGGAGATGCCAGTGGAATGCCTGCCATCTCTGGGGCAGTTGGGAAGGTTCACTAATAAAATGAGGCTGCATCCACCTCTGAGGAGGGCTGTGTGTTCCTTTAAACGACCCCCCTCTTTCAGTAATGCTGCTCTGTTTCAGGTGGATGAGAAAAGGGAGCCTTTGAAAAGCAAGAGCAATGAAGGCCAGAGCACCGAAAAAGCATCTGGGAAGGTGGGTCACTCCTGGCCCTGCAGAGGAGAGCTGTGGGAAGGGAGAGAGGAAGGAAAGGCAGCCTCAACCTGAAGCTTCAGATCTGGAAATTATTTGGGTGCTCTCAGGAATCAATCCTGGGGGAAATCAACCCAAGGTTGGGGCTGCAGGGGGGCCACTGGTAAGGACCCAGCTGGTCAAGGGAGAGAAGATGGCCAGCCCAACTTTAATGCCGCCTCCTCCTTTGTGGGACAGCACAAGAGGCATGTTTCAGCCTCTTTGCACCTGAGCTGTGGCAGTATGGTAGGAACAAATCCCCAAATCCTGCCCCCCCTCCCCTCAATACTTTAAGCTGTCAGATTGCCAGGGGGATTGGGTGAAATAGGACCACCAGAAACTCTGGCCGGGGAAGGAGGTGGAGCTAGGGTGCCTCTGTCAAGCATTAGGTTGCATCCATGAGATTGGCAAGAGGGAGCTCTGCGGGTGGGCTCCCCTGGTGGGGCAAAGGCCCGGAATCTTGCCCTTGAACAGCATTGGACCCAGCAGGAGGCAACCTCGAGCCCTCCAGGGCTCCAGGCTCTGGGAAGGAGGACAGCAGGTCATGTGCAAAGGGTGGAGGTGGGGAGGCAGTTGCTTGGGCTTTATTTTGGCAGGTAGCTCTCCCCACCCCGTCCCCAGCCTTGCCTTCCTGCTGGCTGCCCGATTCCCCTCCTCTTCCAGAAAAAAGGCCTGGAAAGCTATGAAAAAGAGGCTGAGAAGCAGGGGTGCCCCCAAGCCCTGCCTGAAGCTCCTTTGCTGAGAGAGCGAGGTGAGGTGCTGATAACCCAAAAGGGCCCTGGAGGGCAGCGAAGGGAGTCCATCTTCTGTGGGGGGGGGGAGAATAATCCTACGTTTGCACCATGCTCTGTGACAAGCCGGCATCCCCTCATTGCAAGGAAGCCCTGCTGATCTTCCAGTCTTCCCCCTCTCCCCCAGTGGTCCCAGCCTCGCTAACCCTTGCGCAGGAGCTGTCCCAAGCGATGCTGCGGATGGACATGGCCCTGGAAAGGGAGTACGCCTTTGACATCTTTAGCAACTTGATGGTGAGCACTGGCAGTGGAGGCCCCCACCCCACCCGGCCTTTGGCAACCCCTGGCCTGGATGCCAATGGCATTGTGTATCCAGAATACTCTTTGCTGGGGAAGCAGGTGAAGGCGGGAGAGTCGGCTTGCTGCATTCCCTGCAGGAATCCAATTAAGGCATCCAGGATGGTGCTTTATCCTCTGGAATGGAGGAAGATGTTATCAGCAGTCTTGGTAACTGTAAGACAGAGACTGACCCCCTTGGCTTGGCCCAGGTTTCAGGGTTCCTCTGATGGCGTCTTTGCCTAGTCAAGGGAGCCTAAATCTCCATCACTTGGGGGTTGCTGGCTACCTATGGCCTCTTGCTGTGTGTGCCACGTACACCCCCTGGCCAGGGAGCATCCTCAGCTCCATTCCAGGGAACGTCTCTCTAGTCCACCTACTTCCCCTGGCCTGCCCAATGGGCACACTGTGCCAGCGGCCAGGCACTGCCCAACCCTTGGCTCTGAACTGTTCACAGCGGAAGCAACCATCGTATGCCTTCCAGGGCTTTGACCTGCCGCGGTCGGTGACAGTGGAGATGCGAGCCCTTTTGGTGGACTGGCTGGTACAAGTGCATGTGAGTGCTGGGTTGGGGTGGCCAGATTTGTTGGGTCTAGACGTGGGAGGGGAGTTCCCCCTTACCACTGCTCCTTTCCCCCCAGGAGTATCTGAATCTGGCTGATGAGACCCTCCACCTGGCCGTCCATCTCATGAACTGCTACATGACAGCAGGCCGGGTCAGGATCCCTCGCCTGCAGCTCCTCAGCGCCACCTGCCTCTTTCTGGCATGCAAACTGGAGGAGCACACCTGTCCAGAGGTGAGAGTGCGAAAGCTGGATTTGGGCATGTCTATTGCCCTTCCAGAGACCGGGCAACCCAAGCAACTCGCTTGCTCTGCTCCAGCAGCCCTTCTTGGTTCTTGCCTTTGCGGCTGGCAGAGGAGGGCATCTGGGTCTCTCTGAAAGGCCCCACCACGTTCTGGCATAAGGTCCGAGCTGCTCTCCTTTCCTGCAGCCAGCCCAGCTGTGCTTCATGATGGAGAACTCCTGCAGCCGAAAGGACCTCCTGCAAATGGAACGCAAAATCCTAGCCCGACTCAGGTTTGAGCTGCACTACGCCAATCCCATCCACCTGTTACGCCTCCTGGCAGAAGTGGCCCATTGCACCTTGGAGGTAAAGGTCCCCAAGTGAGCTGGCCAGGGCCCAGAACCAGCTGCAGGGTCACCAGTTGCTGTTCCCAAGCGATCCCTGGGTCAAGGTCCCTGGCCTTGTGGGAGGGCAGGAGAGAGAGAGATGTACCTGTGCGGACCCAGAGGACCCCCCCCCCCGTGATTTAGTCCTGGAGTGTGGGGGGGAGGCAGCAAGCACCCTCTTCTCCCTCTTTCCCCATGCCTGTTCAGGTCCAGTTCTTGGCCCTCTATTTCCTGGAAGCGTCTCTGATGGAGGTGGACTGCCTGCGCTTTGAGCCCGCTCAGTTGTCCTTTGCAGCTTTGTCTCTGGCACACCGGCTGTCATGGGAAGCCAGAATCCAAGACATGGATGTGCTTCAGGAATATTTTCCAAAGTTCCACGTGTACAGGTATGATGAGCAAGGAACGAAGGTAATGTCAATGAGAAATAGCAGAGGTGCAAATAATTTGGGGTCTCTCCCTCATTTCCCAGCTTTTTAAAGCACAACCTCTTGGATGTGAGACTGCATGTTTTTTCATGTGCCCAGAGGGCATGGGAACCACAGGTGTGGCTGCTGCCCCAATTCTTGCATGGCACCAGATTTCTTGTGCCCCATGGGATGCCTGGTTACATCTGTGCAGTTGTGCCCCATTCAGGACACTCTGTAGGTCAGCTGCAGCCTAGTGAGGCAGGACCCTGGCTGTCCCCACAACCGCAGAGACTGGTGCATTTGAACAGTAACCGACCAAGGATGGATTCGGTCAGTAAGTGCCCTCCAACCGCTCCTCTCTCCTCACAGTGAGGCCGAGCTGTTGGCTGTCTTCCCGTACATGGCCAAGGCAGTTTTGCAGGGGGCCAACGCCTCCCTTCGTGCCATCTTCCTGAAATACTCCAGACCACAGAAGCTTTGTGTCAGCACCAACCCTGCAATTGCTGCCTCTAAGTTCCTGAGCCGCTTCCTGGGGGATCCCATCCAATGAAGGAGGAGGATGCCGGGATAACATTTGAACTGGGAGTGCAGAAAGCCAAGCATTGTCCCAGGTGTGACTCTAGGCTCAAGAGGGTGGGGGACCCCTTCTCTCCTTTTCTTCCTTCATACATAAAGTTTTCCCATTTCATCCTGGTCCATTTGTCTATCCCACCCTTTCTCTGTGGTCTTGAGTCTTGCACAATCCCCCCCCCCCAATGACTAAAAACAAAAAAAGAGAGATTGTAAGCAAAGGGACTTCATATGTCTAATAAAGTGTTTTATTTTCGTGAAGACACTCTTGCTTCTGAGGTCAGAAAAATGGGGTGCTTCTCCCTCCCATGGAGCTGGCAGGACCCAGGAGACAGTTGCAGTGTGGGGCTGGGGGTGGCTGCTGCTGCTGTGGCTGCCAGCTAACCATGCCGGAGGGCATCCCAGGCTTTGAATTCTCCCACTCCAATGACATTCCAAGCAGCTTACAAGCCATTTTGACATTCGTTCATTAGTAGCCATGAGCCCTCCATTATGTGCTGCTGCTAATACACCCCCACCCCCACCCCGTTGACTGGCTCCTCACAATGCCTCTCAAGCCAACTTCAGCCTAGCCAGCTGTCTGACCACACAGCTCCCTTCAAACTGTGGGAAACCCATCTAGAGTCCAGCTTGCAAATCGCTGGCGACGCTTTTCCAGCGTCACGTCCGAGGCAGGCAAGAGGCGCTAGCCCACCCACCCACCGGGGAACTGCCTGGAGCCGCCCCTCCCGGTTCGGTCCCGAGCCCTGCGAGGTCAGGCTCCTTGTCCTGAGGCGGGAGGAGTTTCCCACAATGCGCTAGTGCGCTATCCGCGGTGCTGAAGCTGCGCTCGTGGCTCTGCCCGCATCCCTCCCTCTACGCCCAGCCTCTCTGCCAATTCCCCGTCCGCCGGAAGCAGGCGTTGGGCTAGGCATGAGTCTCGGCCAGTGAAGGCGGGGATGGAGGAGCGCAGCCCGTACCAGCAGAGCTGCCCGGAGGCCGGCGGGGCCTCCTTGGTGCTGGGCACGGGCAGAGGGGACTGTCGGGCCCGCTGTGCCGCGGCTGTGGAATTGGAGGCCAAGCTCCAGCGGGCGGTGGAATTCAAGGCGGAGGGGCATCGCTGCTACAAGCAGAAGAAGCTCCGCGAAGCCATCGGCAAGTATCACCGAGCCCTGCTGCAGCTGAAGGGACTGGAACCGCCGGCCGCCGAGGGGGAGACCGAGGCGGCGGCTGCGAAGAGCAGCTCGCTGGTCGCCTGGCGTCGCCTGTCCGCCGAGCAGCGGGAGCAGGCGGACAGCACCGAGATGGAGTGCTACGATAGCCTGACTGGTAAGAGCCCGCCCCCGCCGCCGAGGTGGGAGGGAGGAGGAAGCCGCGTAGTCCTGGCCCCAGGCCGGGAGTAGAAAGACCCGACCTCGCCCGCCCGCCCAGCTGGAGAGAGCCTTTCAGAGTCAGACGCGGCTCCCAGCACCGTGGAAGGGGCCTCTGTTGCCTGCCGACGCCCAGGGAAGCGCTGCTTGGGGCCAACTGGAATTCTGCAAAGCCTGAAAAGGGGCCGCCGAACTTAATATTGCCACTTGGTCTTTGAACGCCAATTAAACATGTTTTTTTCCGGTAGCCTTTTCCCCTTAATGTCATCAGGTATTCCTTTCAATGGAGCCAAGCTGCTCCCTGTGCCTTTAGCCCCCCCGGATGATGGGCCGAGACCGCCCAATTGGCCCAAAGAGCCGCAAAGGCCCCCGGGGCGTTTCAGCGCTGAAGCGACGTTCCCTTGCTTGACCCGCCCGCCTCACAACCGCGCCCCAAAGCGCCAGGCGATGGCTCCCGGCCCGTCGCCCTTGCTTTGAGACCAGCGGTGCGGGATGGAGGGCCTTCTCAGCGACTGGCAACACCGCGAGGTCTCCTCTGGGTCCCCCGTGTCATGTGGCCCCTTTAGCCACGACGAGCCCTTCGAGAAGCGAAAGAGGCCGCTAGAGCTGCATTTCCGGTTGCGTTCTTGGTGTGCAGAATGGAAGCCTTCAGCTGGGTCATTTCAGGTGGGATTTGTAGCCCGAAATGAACTTCGACAACTTTGTGCTTTTGTCTCAGAGAAGAAAGAAATGACAAAGGAGGAGGAGGAGGAAGAAGAAATAGACCCACCCCAGTTTAACCCCAAAGAGTTAATCTTGGAAAAAAGAGGGAGCCTTACAATAGCCTCACTGCTGGGCAGAAGGAGTGCGGCGCGCGCGCAGTCTCTAGAGGGAACAGCTCTCCTCCCCCCTCCCCCCATTTGCTGCAGTCTGAGGTGCCCATTGGCCCCGGGCTGGATCAAGCGCAGCGGGGGGTGGGGGCGATCCCTCGGGAGCGGCTCAGTCTCACCCCGCCGCAGGTGAAAGCAGGGAAGGCGAGCTCGGGGTGTGTCGGTGCCCTCCGCTTTCTTCCCCGCAGCCTGCCTCCTGCAGTCGGAGCTGGTGAACTACGAGCGAGTCCGCGAATACTGCCTCAAGGTGCTGGCCAAAGAGAAGGGCAACTTCAAAGCCATGTACCGCGCGGGCATCGCCTTCTACCACCTGGGCGACTGCGACAAGGCCCTGCTCTACCTGAAGGAGGCCAAGGGCCGCCAGCCCACAGGTGGGTTTCTGGGCGGGCCGCGGGCCAGGCGGCAAAGGGACCCTGGCCCTGAGCCCCGGCCGCTCCAGCTCCGGGCAAGAAGGGGGCCAAGCCACGTCGAAGGGAAGCGGGAGGGGGGCACTTCCCATCCGCCGGAGCCCCCCCCCCCCCCCCCCGGCCCCCCCCCCCCCAGACACCAACGTCCTCCGCTACATCCAGCTGACGGAAATGAAGCTCAGTCGCTGCCACCAGCGCGAAAAGGAGGTGACCGCGTAGGACGGACCTGCTCCTCCCTCCTTCCCTCCCGTCTGGCCGGGCCGGGCCTTGATCCAAGCCTCAGCTGCGTCCAAGATCCGGGAATCCGCGATGCTCTCCAGAGACAGCTTGACCCGGATTGCGGGCTGGAGAATGTAGTGTCTTTTTGCCAAACATCTCTGGGGCGATGAGTGCTTTCTTGGGGTGGGGAAGGGCACAAAGGCGACAGGCCGGGCGCAAGCGGGACCTTCGTCAGGCTCCAAGGAGGGGCTTCTGGATAGGCGCGGGTGCCTTTCACGGATCCTGGTCCTGGAGGTTTTTCCTCGGAAGTAGGAGAGAGGGGTAAAAGCGAAGGGAACAGCCAGAGGGTTCTGGGTCTATGGCCATCACCGCCACACACACACACCCCCGCGAATTGGTGAACACAGCATTCTTTTGACCAAGTGGATGGAGCAGCCCCCGAACTCCCCTTGCCCCCCCCCGCAAAGAGCAGCAGGGTTTTCTAGAGAGGGAGGGAGGAAGGAAGGAGCACCTGCTGCTTCTTTCCTCCTCACACTCAGGATCTCACCTGGCAGGAAAAAACTTGTGGTGTTGTTCTCTCCCCCCCCCCTTCTGCTCTGGCTGCCCAATTGCTTCTGGGTAGCCCTTGGAGGGGAGATTTGTCCTGCCTGGTTGGTCCCCCTCCTGTCTACAACCCATTCCCCTCCGCGGCCCTAAAACCCAGGCTCTGGTTCTGGTTTGTGCCATAAGATGATCAGCTTCTCAGAATCCCTCTGGATCCACAAAGTGGTTCCTGACCACCTAAATAAATCAGTTCCAGAGAGAGGGGCTGCCACGGGCTTCCCACCGAGTCTCCTCTTAGTGTTGATGGGCAGAAAACATTTGGGCAGACCCAGTGGTGAAATGCAAAATTTGTTACTACCGGTTCTGTGGGTGTGGCTTGGGGGTGGTGGTAATGTGACCGGATGGGCATGGCCAACTTTTTTTTTACTTTTAAAAGCATTTTGTCAGCTGAAGAAAACATGCTTTTAAAAGTAAAAAAAAAAGCCTCCGATGATCGCATGGCTCAGCTGGGCATGGCGGGCGGGTGGGGGGGTCGGCGGCAGGGATTTTTGCTACCGGTTCTCCGAATCACCCGCTGCCATCGCTACTGGATTGGGCGATCCGGTCCGAACCGGGAACATTTCACCCCTGGTCCTCCTTTGTGAATTGAGGTTTCTTCAGCCAAACAGCAAACCATTTGAAGGAACAGGCTGGTCCTCACCCTCTGGCAAACATGCAGGAAGGGCCCTGGGGCTGGCTGGGGAGGGGGAAATGGGGTGCAGCTTCCTTGTGCCAGGGCCATACAGAGGACAGCAATGCTAATTGGGAGAAGGGCTATCAATGGCCTGCTCCCCATTCCTCAGTTCCTGGCTACCTTCACCCCCACTTGCAAGTACTAGCAAAAGGCCCAATTTTGACTGCCGCCTTCTGTGATGCTGGAGCCCCGGTTGGGGTTAGGCATTCAGAAAAGGCAGCCAGGCTTCCTCTGTGTGTGGGTGAAGGTGCAGCCCTTCTACGCACTCAGAATCTGGGAGTTGGGCGTCTCCTGGCTACCCTGCCATGATTGGAGCAGTTTGCCTCAGTGTAGCCATCTCATCCCTCGGGGCAGGATCTACACTTGGCATGGAGAGGCCTTCTCACAGAAGGCTGGCTAAGGGGGTCTGCCCAGGTATGCCACGCTCCCCTCTCTGGAAGGCCCTGTGAGCTTCGGCTGTAGCTCCTCTGTTTTATTTCCTAGGAAAGCCTCTTTGATTTAGGGGGGCTCAGAGGCCTCCCTGGAAAGTGAAACCAATTTCTGCTTTGCGCTTAGAAATCTAAACTCACCTGACAAATATGGGGCAGAAAGCTTGAGGGAGGGCAGAAAGGGAAGGGCTTGGAGCTCTTCAGTTGCCTGAGTGAGCCTATCCTGCAGGGCTGTTGGAGGCTGAAGCCTGTAGGAAGATCATGTAATACTGATACTGCTGTTCAGAGCAAGGGCAAAGGTACCATCGCATAATGGCATTTGCCCCTTCTTAAATGAGGCCGGAACCCAGCAAAAGCATGTCAGGCAGGCACTGTCCTCCTCTCAAACACACCTTTTCTCTAAAAACAACCAATCACAGAAGCTCAGCTCATGAAGCCCAAAAATCCAGCAGCCTCCAGTTGGTCGGTCAGCCCAGCATCCCCTCAGGGACCTTGGATCCCAAAGCCAGCCCATTCCCTCAGCCTCCCAAGGATATCCTGGGGTGCAAAGGGTCCTCCTGGGGCCAGTGAGGCTGTGGGTCAGGGAGAAATGTCAGCCTGCAGGCTGCACAGACATGGCTGAGCCTGACAAAGGGCCACCATGCTGTCCTGAGGCTGCCCACCCACATCCATGTCCAGAAGGGTCTGGCGGGACTCGAGAGTTCCTGGGGAGAGGGTTGCCCTCAGGATTCAGCCCAGGGATATGAACTTCCAGGGGTCCAAGCTGGGGTGCAAAGGCCAGTGTCTGCGGAGGCTGCACTTCAGTGGCACTTGGACTGGACTGCTGCGTGTCCTGGCTGGCGGCTCGGACAGTGTGAGCAAGTGAGGATCTAGGGAAGCTGGAAAAGGCAGGGCTTCCTGGCAGCCTGGAGGAAGAAAAGCCAAGATGGTGGCAGCGGGGGGGGGGGGGGGGGGGGGGGGGGGGGTGAAGAGGGCTCTGCTTTGTGTGGAAGTCGATCTCCACTCCCTACCGAGTTATTTGCCTTAAAGCAGCCAGGTGGTTCATTTTTAGCCTCTGAACTGCCAACAGCCCCTCCATGCCCAGGATTAATTTCTGCGGTCATCAGCCTCGTGTCCTTTTAGCCTGCACCCTGCCTGCAGTTGATGCCCACCTGTATGGCCAGGACCCTGCTGGGAGGCTCCCTCAGATGGTGTCCAGCGGTACGCTTGGCTGAGGGCCTGTGTGGCACTCATGTGGGTGGGGGCGAGTGGCTGGTAGGGGTCCTTCTTGAAGCTCTCCACCACCATGCCCACCAGGGGACTCCACTAGGGAAGGCAGGCGGGGCTTTCTGTGGGTGAGGGCTGCTCGTCCAGGGGGGCATCTTCCATGTCAGAGGGCAGAAGCAATTTGGTGGAGTTGCAGTCGGAAAGGGGCAGTAGGGTGATGCTGCTGGGTGGCCCAGGAGGTGGGGGCAGCCTCAGCCCATCGCCTGCCAGTTCGGCCAGCTCCATGCCCAGCACGACAGAAGCCAAAATCACTGTGCAGCCCAGCAGGCCGAGGTCACTGTGGCAGCCACGATGCCCAGTGGCTGAAGCCTGCTTGGGTTCCTCAGCAATGGATGGCAGCAGCTGCAGCCAGGGTCCCAGGAGCGAGAGTGGCTGGTCATGGCTGGAATTTGCCATCCTTCTCGGTGAGCTCTTCTGAGGGAGGCAAAGGAAAAGGAAGGCAGATCTTGTGGCACGACCGGCACAGCTCCCCAGGGAGTAGCTCTAGACACCCCACTCCCTTTCCCCCACCCTGTCCTGCTAAAGCTGAGATGTGGGGAAGGAAGCACAGTGAGGAGCCCCTATTCATTCCAGCCTCCACTGAGGTTTCCCCTGCTCCGGTTCATCCACCTTGGAAACATCAATCATTTAAATCATCGCTGATCAACCCAACTTGGACCTCCATTCTTGGACAGTCCAACAGGGACAGGAGAACTGCAAAGAAGTGCGGGACCAAATCCATGGCAACTATCCCAGGCCCTTAAATTAAGGGCTGCAAAAGGACCATGCAGCCATTCCGAGGCACCCTGCTTATGCCCAGAAATCTGCGCCTGAGGGACCAGCTCTCGGCTGCTGGGGAAAGGGGTGCAGAAGGTGGCTCTGCCTGCCACATCCTCCAGCCCAGCTCTTGGGGTAGAGGGAACACAGGAGCAGCCTAGCATTCCCACGAGGCTGGCAAAGCCCACTGCCAGGGGCACGTGCTTGGGGGAATTGCCCAAGTTGGGTGTGCTGGATGACCACTGTTTATTGCCTTGGGCCAGGGACTTCAACCTGTGCAGGTGAGGAAAGCATTCTCATGGCCATCCCAGGCTGTCCCACACGGGATGTCCTGTCCCAGCAGCTTCGGTCTGCCATTGCTCACTTCCAGCCTCTCCGGCAAGGCTTCTGGGTGCCATCCAGGGAGCCATCTGGCCCCATATCTGTCCTCCCCACCGAGTCTCTGTTTGTGGACTGTGGAGCTTGGCCCCCCCCGTCTGCCCTTTCTTCTTCGACCCCACTGGCTCCTCCTCCTTGGCCAAGCTGCTTCGGCCCCACATCTGGTTTCCGTCCAAGGGGGTCACTGCAAAACCAGGGATGGGGAAGCGGCTTTTGAGCGGTGGTCCTCTGCCCCACTGGCACCACTCCAATCACCTTCCCCGGGGGCTTCAGGGAGTCCCAGCTCTACCGGGTCCTCAGGGCATTGGCTGAACTGGAGGAATCTTTCGATCAATGGAACCTCCATCCTCCAAAATGGCCAAGCCAACTTTGCCAGACTCCCAGCATAACAAGCGGGGCTCTGTGGTGGCTGCCTTCCTGGGTCTCTCCCACCTGCCCCTCGGAAACATTTGCTCCACCTGACATGCAGGTGTCTGCAGCGCCTTCCCAGAGCAGATCCGGTGGCTGTGGGACTCACAGCGAATGGCCCACAGGTGTGGGATGAGGCCAGGCCTCCCTGGGGGGCTGGGGGAGGCTAGCCCTTTCTACCAATCGAGGCTGGGGGCCGGCTGCACTGTGATCTTGTGCTCAAAGCCTAGACAAGCCGAGAGAGAAGTGACTCAGCCGCCGCTGCCTGGTTGCTTCCTGCCTACCTCCCACCCAGGGTGGAGGGGCTGATGACCCCGGCTTCACCTGAAGGGAGGCTGATGTGGTTCGCATCTCACAGCTGGAGGTGGGAGCGCTGGAAGTGCCCCTTCTGCCTCTTGATCCGGGCTTCTCTTGGCCCAGCTGCAGCATCAGGAGGCTCAGCTCCTGCTCCACCATAGCAATCTTGCACTCGGCCAGCTCCTGCTCCTGCCAGCACAGCACCTCCTGTGTCCGGTGCTCCTCCATGGCCCACAGCAGCTCCTCCTCCCAGCTCCTGGGGGCAAGGGGCACACCTAGGTCAGGGGCGCAGGGTGAAGGACCACATGCCGCTGGGCAGTTTTCCAGCCCTTCCCCTAGAATTCCATCAGCGCTGCCCGACCTAAACCAGGGGGGGAGTCACCTTCTCCTTGGTGCTCAGATCATGGAAGAGCCCCACAATCTCCATCTTCCAGTCCTGCTGCAGTGACTGGAAGGACCCAGGGGCATCTGGAAGAGGGATGACTGCTCTATGGCCACCAGCTACCCCAGGAAGTCCAGCTGGGCATGGGGGTCTGGGTGCCAGCATTCTGCAGAGCAAAGCCAAGGAAAGTGTGAGGCTTAATGTGTGAGGGCAGCCCCTGTGGAGGGGAGGGGGGCTCAAATGCTATGGCCCAGTTTTGCCAGGTGGATACTGCCAGGTGGATTCAAGAGCATACTGGATGTTGGCCTCAGAGACGGACATAAGACCAGCAGCTGGCATAGAGAGGGGCAGAGAAAGGGACCATGTCAGAGGAAAAGGGCTGCCCTGCCCTTCCCCTTTCCTGCATGGTAGGGAGAGGGAGACCCCTCCCAGAACTGGCAGTGCCCTTCCACAGCTGGGAGCTTCTCTCTCACCTTCCAGGAGGTGGGCAAAGGGTCCAGGACACATGGAGGGGATGGGCAGCATCAGCTTATTCATGGCCATGCCACAGGCCATTGCAAGGGTGCCAATCTCGCGGTAGGGCACCTTGCCCACGAGCAGCTCCCAGAGCAGCACCCTAAACCTGGGAAGATGGACGAGCACATGAACACAGTGGCAGGCAGACCCCGTTATGTCCAGCTGGGAAACTGACTGAGCCCTACAGCCTTCTGGGATCCACCTACTCGTTTGGCAAAAGAGCACTTGGGCACCTGACCCAGAGTGTAGTTTTGTGGGCATCAGTGGCTTGTGGCCCTTGTGGCCCAAACCTCTGCTCCACCACTCCGGACCAAGAGGCTGTGCAGAGTCTCCCCCGGAGAAGAGCCCCTCCGCCCCAGTTCTGCCCTGCTGCAGAAAAGGGGTGTCCTCCTCCCCTGCCATTCCCTCCTCCAGTCACCTCCAAACATAGCTGCTCTTGGAAAAGACAGAATGCTTGATGACCTCTGGCGACATCCAGGCATAAGTGCCAGCTGTGCTCATCTTAGTGGTTTTGTGCCACTCTCATGCCAGGCTGAAGTCAGTGATCTTGAAGGTGTGCTGGCTCCAGTCCTCATGATCGATGTGTTCCAAGCTCAGAACTGAAGGGATAGGGGGAGAGCCCCTCAGGCACCTGACAAGCGTCAATACTGCCTTTTCAGCAGCTGTGGGGAGGCTCTGTTTGGTGCTGGGTTTGGCTCTGCCCCCGTGATGGGGGTGGGGGTGGCTGCAGTCTGCTCAATCGGGAGCAGCAGTCCTAGCAAAGAAACTTTTCTACATCACACCATGTCCACAAAACAACCAGGGTGGGGGGGAGGGGGAGTTTTCAGAGCAACCAGAAGACCGAGAGCCCGTTTGGCTTAGTGGTTAGGGACTAGAAAGCATGAGACCATGAGTTCAAGTGCTGCCTTCTCCAAGAAAGCCAGCTGCATGACCTGGGGCCAGGCACTCTCTCTCAGCCCAACTAGCTCACAGGGTTGTTATTGTGGGGAAAATAGGAGGAGGAGGAAGGTGTGTTGAACATGTTCACTGCCTTGAGTTATTTGTAAACAAAAATAATAAAGGAGGGATATAAATAAATAAATAAATAAATAATACATACATACATACATACATACATACATACATACATACATACTAGAGAACATCCAATCTATTCCAAGGCTGCATTTGACACTTTGGTTCGCAAAACTCTGTGCCGAGGCCCCTGCGCACAGAGGCTCAGAGGCCCCTTTGATGGGGCCCAGCCCAGCCCTCTGGGCCCTCTGGTCCTCCTCTCTTGGCACCCAGAGGGAGGATTGGAAGGGGGGCGGGACACACAATTGGACAAGGTGCTCAGAGCCAGAAGAGAGAAATGGCAACAAATAGTGTTTACTATTTACTATTACTAATTAACTGGCCGTGACTAAGAGTAGGTACCAGCCACCATGCTTTGAGAGAAGAGAACTGTTTGCTGGGCCACTGGCAGCAACAGAATGTCACAGGCAGAATAAGAGAGTGGAAGGGATCTTAGAGGTCTTCTAGTCCAATCCCCTGCTCAAGCAGGAGACCCTAGACCATTCTGGACAAATGGTTGTCCAATCCCTCCTTAAAAGCCTGCAGGGCTGGAGCCCCCACAACTCCTGGAGGAGAGTCATTGGAGGGCTCAAACCCCTGTGGGCCTGGGGATCAGTGGAGCCGCCTGCCTAGTAGGGAGAAAGTTTGGGAGGACCAAGGAGGCTGAAACATGAAGAAGGGAGGAGGACCTAAATAATACCACCTCTCCCACACCAGAGGCCTTACCTGGGCGGACTTACTTACTGTTGATGGACTTGAGATCCCGATGGATGATGGGAACCAGGGCTCCCTGGTGAAGATAGTTCATGCCCTGCACAATCTGCACTGCCCAGTTGACCAGGATGTGAGGAGGGACCTTCTTGCCTGCCAAGGCCTAGTTGAGGGTCCCTCAGCGGGCATACTCCATCACCAGGCAGAGGTTGGGAGGGCTCAGGCAAACCGCCTTCAGCACAATAATGTTGGGGTGGCACAGCATGGCAAACAGCGGGGCCTCCTGGCGCATGTTCTCCACTGTCACAGTGAGCTTCTCCTCTGGCTCCTGATGGGCAGCCTTCACGGCTACCTCTTCTCCTCGCCACAGCCCCTTGTAGACCTTGCTGAAGCCCCCTACACCAATGATCTTTTCCAGCTCCAGTTCCCGGGGATTTCAAAGGGGGCGGGGACCTGGGCATACTTAGGGTCACTGGACACGTAATTGCTGGGTCAGACCCCCATTCTCTCCTGGAGCTTCCCTGTCCACCAGCCCTCGTCCCCTGAGATAGTGGAGCCCTTGGACAGCACCTCCACTAGTTCTCCCTGGTCCAGGGGTCAGCTCCTTGTAGTCAAAGACGGCTGTCCAGAAGGGGTTGGGGGGCCAGTGGGCAGATCCTGAGGGGCCCACTGCAGCCTGGCTCCAGCCAGCAAGGTTGAGAGGCTAGCAGCAGCTCAAGCCAAGGCCCCATTTCTCAGCCCTGGGGGGGCGGGGGGGAGGGGCAGCACAGGCTCTTGAGGCCACATCCTCCCAGCAAGGAGGGGGCCCCCAACTCTTTGCCCCGGGAATCTTCTTAAGGTCCAGGGAAAAGCATCCGCTCCTGGCGCTGCAGCCCCTGCAAAAGAATCGGATTCCTCGTCTGTTTGTCTTTTGCCAAGCCGCGAGGCCTGGCCCTGGCCGCCTGCCTGCCTGCAGCCCATCTGAGGGCATCCATCCCAGTCCCGGCTGGAAAAGAAAGAGGCTTTACATTTGCGCGGCGCCATCCCCCGAGCAAGACGCGGACAAGCGGCGCTAGCTCAGGACGGCGCGCCCGACCACGCGGCGGAGGGGTCCCGAGACTGCCGGCGGGGTGTGGGACCTTCTCGGTTTTGCGGCTGCTGCTCTCCCCACGTTCCCCTCCCCCGACAAAGCCGTGTGTGTGTGTGGGGGGGGAGAACCCGGGCAGCTACCTGGGCGTGCGGGGGGGAGGCTGCCTCGCGCTGGCCTCACCTGCTCATCGCCCGCCCACCTGGCCGGTCAGCTCTGGCGGGGGCTCCGTGCTGCTCGACCGCCGCTGCCTCTGGCGCCCTACACCGGCCGAGGAGCAGCCCCCGCGGTGCGCTCCATACCACAGTCTAGGCGTCCTCGGCCGCGGTCCCGGGCCTCTCTCGGCTTGCCGGGGACTCTGTCCGCAGCTGTCCCCGCGGTGGCGGCGGCCCAGCCTCCGGATCCCCCCTCCCGTTAGCCGTCCCCGCAAGCATCGTGCCTGGGAGAGAAGGCGGAGGCCCGCCGAGATCGCGGCCCCGACTGCTGCACTTGGCCGCACGCTCGCCCGCGCTCCCTCACTGCCCCTCCGGCCTCCCTGACGTCCCCCGCCCGCTTTGTTTTCCTGTCTTTCCCCGCTGCTGCTGTGCGAGGAGGGCCAGGCAGGCTGGGGGGAGGGGAGAGAGGGAGGCCGGGGCATGCCGGGATTCGTAGTTTCCACGGTTCCCTCTCAGGTGGAGAGCGGGCAGCACCTGAGGCCCCCTTTCATCCTGCCTGGGCCCCGGTCCTCTCGCCGGGCAGCTCGCGCTTCTTTGCTTTCCAGAGGCAGCGGGCTGGTTGCTATTTCTAGCCTCTAACCCCCGCTTTTCTCCTTCACAATCCGAAGGAGGTTGCAGCTCAACATTTGTGGTAAGTGGCCAATTAGCAGTCTGGCAAGAACCAGTATTTTTGAAAGGGGGAGAGGGGAGGGGGCTGCCAAGAACAGCGCTCTCTTATTTGGCACTCCTTGCAACAATGAGAACTTGGTTGGTGAGGAAGAAAAGGGAGGGGAAAGAGGAGCAGAGAAGGTTAGAAGGGGGGAAGAAGAGAGGAGTGGGGGAAGAGAAAGAGAAGTAGGAAAGAGAAGGAGAGGAAGAACGAAGGAAGTAGGAGAAAGAGGAAGGAAGAAAAGGGGAGGAGAAGAAGAAAGATTGGAGTAAAGGTAAAGGGTAAAAGAGCAGTCCCAAAAAAGTAAAAATGAAAGTTAAAAGAAAAGATGAATGAAAAATGATGGAAATGACTGTACATGTAAATGTGTTTATGAGAAATAAAAATAAAAAACTGTTTTGAAAAAAAAACTTGGTTGGCATTTGGGAGGGGTTGGTAGGTGGTCTGCAAATGTCAAAGATGCATTTTTCAAAAACCAACTCGACTTCGTTTTTTCCTTAAGGAAGATGACCTTTCCTTCTCATCCAAGAACCGATGAAGCTTCTTGGATGAGAAGGAAAGGTCTTCTTCCCTAAGGAAAAAACAAAGTCCACTTGCCTTTTGAAAAAATATGTTTGAGACAACCTGGATGACACAGAATCTCCATAGAGGTGGTCACAAATATTTAGGTTTCGGCTGCAGGTCCCTCCCCCTCCCCCCATCTGGATTTGATCATTGGCCTGGAAGGATAGAGGGCCTTCCGAGTTATTGACTAGAAGCACTTATCACAGGGCAAACTGAGCAGTGGCTGAGACGCAGAACCCCTTGGAGACCCCACGGAAAAGCAGGCAAGCAGCTGGGCATGCGAGGCACACCTTATCTTGGAAGACAGGTCCCAGAGACAAGCAAGCCTCTGCCCCCATCCTCTCCCACAGTCCTAATTTATCTCCCGGTGGGCTTTCTAGGTAGAACCAGGACTGGAGAAGAGCAGTGAACCATGGGGCCATTGCTGCCCCTGACGCTGCCCCTGTCCTCCATTTCCCAGGAGAGGAGGAGGTGGCAACGGCCCTTGGGCCAGCAGCAGTGAGGGAGGAGGAGAGTGCTGGGGCTTTCCTTTCTTTTGCCTCCCACCCATTTCCTTCCTTCCTTCCTTCCTTCCTTCCTTCCTTCTCCATTCCTCAGGAAGGAAAAAGAAGAAGAAACGCAAACAAGAAAAGAGGAAAAACAGGCTCAAAGAAAAAGAAGACAAAGTGAATGAATAGGGAATTTGGAAATATCACAGAATGTAATAGGAATATATTGGTTAGTTAAGACTTCAATATCTCAGTTGGTTAACATGTAAAGATCAACACAGATAATCAGTACAATGTAAGTGACAACAAACTCAGTCCTGTAATTTTTGTTCAAAGCATCTAAAGCAGTGATGGCAAACCTTTTAGACACCAAGTGCCCAAACTGTGTGCGCACGCAGGCCCAAACTGAAAGGTGTGCATGCGCAGCAGAGACCTGAAGACCAGCTGACCAGCGGGGTATCCCAACACGAGCAGCACAGCAAGAAGTAAGATCTTTTTCTTTCGTCAGCTTCTGTTTCATCGTTTGCAAATGACGAAACAGCAGCTCACAAAAGAAACGCCACGGAGATCTGGCCTGGGGCGATGGCATGTGTGCCAGCAGAGGGCTCTGCGTGCCACAGTTTCGCCATCATGGATCTAAAGCAGCAGTTCTCAACCTGGGGGTCGCGACCCCTTTGGGGTCGAATGGCCATTTCACAGGGGTCACCAAAGCCCTCTCTCGCCCCCCCACGCCTTCACTCACCCTCACCCTCTGTTGGATCGCCCGGTCGCCATTCGCTTACCCCGCCCACTCCCAATCTATTGCTGCCTTCGGACTCCCAGCTGATGGCTGGAGGGAAAAAAAACTTTAAATTCTTGCCGCGGGGCTTCAAAGAGCTAGCTGCAAAGAGGTAAATTCCTGGAGCAGATTTTTTTCCCCCTAGCTGTGCTGAAAAAGCGAAATTGAAAGTAAGCAGGCTGCAACGTGACAAAATGAGGCAGAGAGATTTCTTTTTCCGCACCAAAAAAGGTAGGTGCAAAACAGCAAACAATGGGAAATTTAGGGCAAAAGAGGAGAGTTCAAGATTTTAAAACACAAAAGAAAAAAAGCTCTATTTAACTAGGGAATTGTAATAATTGAGATACTATTAATTGTATATTGTGTTGAAAGCAGAAATGGTTAAGTTGTGGTTTGGAGGAATATATGAGAGAAATTATTTGGTTTATTATTATTGGTAAATATAATTAATTGATTTGTAAGAAATTGGATTGCATGGAAATAATTGGAATATTCATGTTCATATTGATTAATATACAAAAAAGATAGTTATATAACTAATTGATTTATATTAAAATGTTGAATTTGTATTAAACAACTGTATTACATAATTAACCAATATGAGGATGGATATAAAAGTAGATGACAATGCGAAGGGCTATAATATAGAATAGAAGGGAAAAATTGAATTTGATTAAGATTAGAGATGAGGATGAAGGGTAATATTGTTTTTTTAAAAAAACAGATGAGGAATAAATATGGTAAAAAGGAAATATAGAAATTGTAAATTTAATTGAAATGACTAAATACTGTGTTGGAAGAAATATCCTTCTGGGTTCTGCTCCAAGTGGGGAAAAAGACACTGGAAACATGGAGACTGCTTGGAAAGATGGTTTAATGGTGGACAGGATCACATGGCTTGATGGGGCCCATTGTGTTAGTTTCTGTTGCTATTGTGTTGCAAATGTCCTTTGACAAAGAATTGACTTTCTGCCTCTGACCCATTAACAAAGGGTGGGGGGCAGGAAGGTGGGAGCTGCTTTGTCTGTAAAATATGCTTCTCCATTTCTCATCCAGGTAGGGAAATATAATATTCTGCCTTTTTAATATTTCCCAAAATATTTCATTCTTCTAGGAAAGGGGTGGGTGCTAACCTCCTACAACTGTTTAAATTTGTGAATTGGCCAAATACTCTGTTCAAAGAAAATACGTTGTATGTTTGTATGTGTGTTTCTAATTATTGCTATTTATTGCTATTTGTTCTCTTTTATTCTTTAAAGTTTAACAATTCATTCTTTATCTTAATATCTTAATATGTGTTTGGGGTTGGCTTTCTTCACTTTCATTTTTTTTATTGTACAGCAATCTTTCTCCTCAAACCTACCACCTCTGTCTTTTCTTTCTTTCTTACTTTCTCTTCCCCCCCTTCTTCTTCTCCCTACTTCCTCTTTCTCCTCCTCTCTTCCTCCCTCTCTTACCCTCACTCCTACTCTAATTTCCCTTCCCTTCCTTCATCCCTCTCTATTGCTGTATCCTTTTATGCATATGGACTACTCAGAGGGCTGAAAAAGTTATTTTTGACTAGTCCTCGCACTTTTGACCAGTCCTCGAATTTACGACTGTCCTCACATTTTACGTTTTTTGCCCTATCTTATACCATGTTGAAGAGAAGCAGTTGTGAAATGAGTGACATGGTTGTTAAGAATGCTGCACAGGCATAAATGTGAGGATGGTCATAAGTGTGAGGACCAGTCAAAAGTGCGAGGACCTGTCAGAAATGACTTTTTTCAGCCCTCTGAGTAGTCCCTATACATATAGCCATGGCCACCCGGTCACATGACCAGCTAGCCACGCCCACCCAGTCACATGACCTCCAAGCCTCACCCACAAAATAAGCCACGCCCACAGAACCATTAGTAAAAATATTTAGAACCCACCCTTGGTTGGGGGTCACCACATGAGGAACTGTATTAAAGGGTCGCGGCATTAGGAAGGTTGAGAACCACTGATCTAAAGGATCTAAGCTTATTGAGCAAGACCAGGCAGTAGATTCTGCTCTGGTGGGTCTCCTGGATGCTATTCCTTTGTCTTCTTCCATTGCAGGATGCTTTTTTTTTTTTTGCAATTTTTTTTTATTTTTAAACAAACAAAACATAAAACATCCTTCATCCATTACAATTTCAAGCAGTGTGTCGATCGGTTACAAATCCCTTGTTTCTTTCCTATAATCATATTGTACTAATTACTAATTATCTAATTTCTCATATTATCAACCTGATATATATCTTTATATCATTATTCTCATTTGTCATTTATTTAACAATGGCATTATCATTCCAAAAAAAAATATTTTCACATATTATATTCTAACATTCATTTTATATTTCATATTTCATTTCCATGTTTTATTATCTAGCCATTGGTATTCCATTTCAGGATGTTGAGTGGCCAGTGAGGAAGGGTCCTTGGCCAGCAGATGTCACTGCCCTGAAGGATTTTGCAGGCATTAGCCTTCACTTGGACCTTCCCAAGATTTTTTTACGGGTTTGTCAGGCAAAATAATTTTTGAGCCACCGAATTTGGAAAAGAATTTCTTAAGTTTTGCCTGTTTTTTGCAAAGGGATCTGTCAACCAGGAATGGTGTGAGATCATTGGAGAAAAGCAGTGCTGTAAAATTTTATCTGGAGGAATAGTGATCTATTCTAAAAGTAATATTTTATCTAGCAGATTTTGTGTGCCCCCAGCTTGCTCTTCTGGTACATTTGAAGATCATTTTGATCCTGAAGTAAGGTTGCTTGGAAATAGTCATTCTCAAATAATGTATGATGTTTTGAAAAGAATGGGTCTAATACAGTTGTGGGTTGCTCCCGGTTCGCACCGGTTCTATAGAACTGGCAGTAAAACCGGTGGGAGGCTCTGCCCACTGACCCTGACGTCATCAAAACGCTTCTGCACTTGCGCAGA